GGGGATAAGAGAGGAATGAGGATCTTTTTCTCTCCTCAAGGCAATTTGCCAACCATATCAGACAGGGGAGCGGGGGGAGAAGCAAAGCAATATATCATGATTTATCCATGATGATTGAACTAAAAGAAAATTCATTTCTATTGATTTTAAATACAGTCTACCTAAAAGATTCTCAAGGTGGTTTACATAGGCTCACACATTGATTTGTGAAAAGGATGTGTTGAAGAATTGTTGCACGGCACATGATAACATTTTAAAATGACCAAGGAGAAGTCATTATGTAAACCAATCCCTACTAAAGACTTCCTTGTAAAACTAATGGCAGTGATGGCATTTATTCTTTCTGTGCTTTGGATTTTCAGCCACTGAAAAAGTTTAAAATGTAGATTAGTAAGTCAAGGATGACACTATGTTATTTACGATAAAACCAAAGATTCCCTCTGTATTGCCATACGTGTGCCAGCATGGAATTCTTCTGGAGCACTACCAGAAACTCATCTTGCTTTACATCTTGCTTTGCCACATAAGGCAAGCCAGACAAAGAGAAGCTGGTTTCCTCAACCTTCTGTGAGATGGCTTCTTACTTACATCCTGACTCTAAAGTCAGATTAAGTGCTGGCATGGTAGAATCTATGTATTACAATATCTAGAAGGGTTGTTGAACTCAGGTCTTTTTTGAAAAATGACTGAATAAAGAATGAGTCAATAATGAGCACTTTGCTCAATCACTGACGGTAGATGATAAGAATATATAGAGATAAGATTGGCGTTTCTCTTCTCCATGAAATATTGAAACATAATGAAAGTTAAATTTATAATATATATTTATCGAAAAACTCTATTATGTTGTGATTAAGCCTGTGCTAATATAGGACACCCAAAATTAATACCCTTTGACGCCTTTTTAAAGTGAAAATTATTAAAAATTCTTTAAGATCTGACGCAGAGATGGTTCTGGCATGCCATCCTCTTGTCTTGCTACTCAGCTAAAGAAGCAATAAGCTGTCCTCCAGATAATATTCTGAAATAAGATTGGCGTTTCTCTTCTCCGGAGTTCGGTTGCTAACCCTTAACCCATGCAGCTAAGGAAATAGTTTTGACCACTGCCTGCGAAGGTGCCTGGCACATAGCAAATGCCTAACAAACACTTGTGAAAACCATCAATGAGGATCCTTTTATGTATCCTACTCTGGCTTGGTGTGCTGTGCTGCCTACATCTTGTTTAGGATGCCTATTAGTTAACTGAGTTAATATTAGTAAGTTTTTCAAAAGAGTATTTGGCACATTGCATTTTGTAAGTAGAATCAAATAACAACAAACAAACAAAATATTACTCATTTACAGTTTACTAATAAAGGCTGAGTCTTTGACACTTGGTTCTATGGAAAGCCTGGCTTTTCCCAATATGCGCTGCAGGATACTGTCTGCTAATTTTCTTGTTAACCTGGGGATGAATGTGGGATATTTTTGGTTACTCTATATCCAGCTTGAATTCTCTACTTTGCATCTGGATTTTCATTTCCATTTATGTTCTCTCTGTGGCAATGAGTGGAATGTTTCCGATCCCCTTTGTCAGGATAAGTCATTTCAGCTTACAGAGATCACCTGCACCGCACAGCACCAGGCTCCCATTAAACCTCCCCTCGGAGCAGCAGTGCAGAGGGCTCTTGGGGAGTAATTCCACACCCATATCCTGTGAGCTTCGCAGGGGCCCAGAGTCCAGCAATGAGAGTACATTCAATACTAAAGAACTCAACCCACTTTCCTGAATTTATCCCCCCAAAATGTTGCTTTCTGGAAAATGGACAGCACAAGCAGAGCAGAATATGGGTCAAAACTAGAGCAAAGTCTGGTTTTCTTATTCCCTGCCATTTTCCTTTTGCAGCGTATCTAAAAGCTGGGAGTGTCAAACAATGAAGGTAATAGGGCTCGCTGTCACAGCTACTGGTAAGTACACTCACTGAGCATAGGTTCTAAAGTACCTGGACTAATTGATGGGTGGGGCTAAATTAAACAACTAAACCATATATTTCCATTCTTTCATTTTTAAACAAACAAAATGTGTGACGCTCCTGAATTTAATGCTGCTGCACAGGTGTCTAGCAGTTATATAACGGCCTGTGTTGTATTGTGAAGAACGGTACAATTAGAGGTCTTCTCACTAACCTTCACTTGATATCAATCACAGTTTACTGTAACCCTTGTCTTATCAGTGGTCTTCCTTTTTCTTAGGAAACTTTTTTCCTAACTCAGCATCCTTATCTCTGAGCCAGACCCTCTGCTGGGCTGGTGTGTCCTATGACTTTCCCTCCAGTATGTCAGACCAATTTGGCTGTTAAATTTCTTTTTGGGTTGCTCTTCCCAGATTCCTCTACTTCTCTTCATTCAAAATAAAGTAAATTATTCACCTAAGATCATTCTGTAACCCCTCCTTCCCCCAAAAGACAGAGGGCTTAAAATGGCTTTCCCAAAGACTGCCTAGATTTTCACTTATGTCTAAACCTTGACAGGGAAGAGATTCATGTAGCAAATGCAATTTTGTAAGAAGAGATGAGAACCTCACCTTGAGCTCTACTCACTACACACCCAGGAGGGCATGGCCATGGCTTCTACTGTCATTAAGGGAGAAGGGCATGCAGATGTGGAGAGATGTATGGAAACCACCGTCTCCATACATCTCTTTAAAATATAATAGAAAGACTTTAGCTTTCAGGCTTTACCTGCATTTTACCATCTTGGTGAAACATTTCTGAGGAAGAGGCAGGAAGAAAGACAAGCTAAAGGAGACAGGGAAATTGGGTTTCGTTAACTACAAAATTGTGGCTTTGAGATTTTTACTTTTCTTCTTTCACTGAAGAGGACAAAGAAATGTGCATTAAGAGGAAAGCTTAGTCAAGAATAATGGACTTAAATCTCCTACAATTCTCATCTTCTTTGTTGATATGGTTGAGGAGAAGGGGTGCTGGAGGTAGAGGTGGGGGTGGGGGTTGTGGAGGATTAAAACAGTGAAAAGAGAGAAACAGAAGGTGAGGGAAGAGGAGTTTAAGAGGAGAGAAAGAACAGAGTAAGTAAAGGGAGAGAGGAGAGAAAACAGGAGCCAAGGGGAGACAGTCCTGGCCTCATCTAAAACACAATTAAAGCTTTGAAAATAGAACCATACAGAAAATTCTTAAGAAAGCCACAAAGTTCTCTTAATACTTGGGGTGAATGAGGAGAAGTGGAGCTAAGAACAAGGGGTGTGGAAGACAGAAGAGAGAGGAAGGAGAGGTCCAAACCTCACCTCCTAATCATTCTGCCTGAGGTGCTGGAAGTACTTCTTTATAACGTGTGAAATTTTAACTGAATCCAATTTCTTGGCATTGGAAACTGTGCCAGGGGCTGCTCATGAGAAACAAAATCTTTTTCCTAAAATGAAGAAAATTCTGTTTTTCTCTGTGGCCTCCTCTATCTTGAATAACCTAGACTCTTCTCTTATTCATTTATTGGATGGCACTGTGATAACACAAAAGAAGAGGCCAGGCTTGACCTACCAGTTTTACAACATCTTTCTGAAGACCACAATCCACTAATCCCAGACAATGGCCCAACCTGCAAGTGTTGTGCCCAGGAACCACACATCCATAGCCACCCCCTTCACCATAAAGTTGTGCAGAATGTCTCAGGGAGATGATAGGGTTGAAAAGTGCTACAATGTATATTTTCCCAACCCTGGGAGGTTGGAAGGGAAAGAGGTATCTATAATAAAAGTGTAATATGCTAATTAGACTGGACAGCCGAACGACCTTCCAGACATCATTCTAGATATCTTTCTGGATGAAGCTGCAGCAGCGGAGGCTGAGGCAGAGGTGGTTAGAGGCAATCAGGCAGGCAGGTGAGTGGTTAGGGATCAGACTGACAGGCAGTAGTTGGAGGCGTTCAGGCAGTCCTGGATTTATGAGTGGGATGTCTGATTGATAGTTTAGGCCTGATCCCACAGGGATTGGGATCAGGTCAAAACCAGCAGTCATACATTTCCCGAGGGATCCCAGGTTGTGAGACAGTGCAGGCCGGGCTAAGGGACCCCCCCCCCCCCAACCCCATGTACAAATTTCATGTACTGGGCCTTTAGTATTAATAAATGGTGCTGCCATTATTGACAACTGCTTTAAGAAAATAAAGCTAGACCCCTATCTCACTCCATATACAAAAATAAATCCTAAAAGATTTAAATGTAAAGAAAAAAAATGAAAATTTAGAATGTGGGGTTATTTTAGAATTGTGAAGACCTTCTTCAATAAGATTAAAAAACCTAGAAGCCATTTAAAAAAGATAGGCATATTTGACTAAACATTCCAACATCTTGTATAAAAATATCAGCAAGAATAGGGACACTTATTGGTGTCAATGACTGGTTAGATAATTCCATTTACTGACTTCAGGCAAAATTAACCATTGGAAATGACATCATTGGATCTGATTTCCTGATACTAAGTCTAGAGTAAAATATAATAGAACACTATCCATATACTCCATGCTTCCCTGTCTGGTCACCTATCTCTGGGTCTCTCACCCTCTAATTTTCATGTTTGGCCACAAATACTGTTAGGGAACTCAGCACATATATCTCCCAGTCCATATTTTCAGACTCCCAAAATTGTTTGGGATACAATGAGAATGCATGTGTGCAGGAGTTATTAGTGTTCTGAAGAAGGTGGGGGAGGAGGGGAATCAGGAGCAAGTCTACCTCAAGCCAGAAGTATGTGCCCTCAAAATAGTTAGGATAATATTATCACATTGTATATGTTTACTAAGAATACATTTATTGGTTTATAAAGTATATAAACATTTTATGAAAATATCCTTTATAAGAATAAGGAAAGAAGTAAAAATGAAAGAAAAAAAAAACACATAAAAATTTTGTCTGATTCCCCCTCCTTCATTTCTGAAGTGAGAGAAATGATAGATACAGTCAACCTTGCAAACAGATTCCTTCAAGTTTTTCGGTGTGTTTTTTTTTTATATATATATATAAAATGACATCAATTGCTGAAAGCATTATGACCTTTGTTATGCTACATACACTGATACAAAATGTGAATAGTACAAAGTTCACTATATATACCGTTTTAATATATTACATTTGTTTCTACATAAACAGACTATAAATATATGTGCCATAGCATGGTTTAGTCATGGTTCCCAGCATCTCACACTATGGTACCAAACGAAAAATACATTTTGTTGGGTTTTTTTTTGTTTTTTTTTAAAGGAAACAACAAAAGAAGAAACCAGTAGAGATAGCTTTACATGTTAAAAGTCTAAACAATACAATAGGTGTTGTTATAACTTTGGCTATACAATAATTTTGAGGTCTGACTAATAATTACTCAGAGAGTAAACAAATCAGCATTGACTAGGGTGTAGAGGCCAAATGACTGACACACTGACTGGTCGGGGTGAACGGGAGGGGGATGGCACAGGAGGCAAGAGGAACAGAACGGTAAACTCCTTTCTGAGGCCTTGACACCACAGCTTGACACGGAACCTGCTGCATTCAGGCTCACGTCGGGACAGATATGCGGGTATTCATCCACAAGAAATCCGAAGCTGGTTTGTGCAGTCAGGATTCTTCAGCGCGACAGGGGGCCTCTTCTGAGTGTCCTTTCTTTGTGGTGTGTCTGAACAAAGGATCAGCCTGGGAGACAAGGAGCCAGAGCTGCATCATTTCCTTCCTGGGGCTCGGCCAAGAGACACGTAAGAGTCCGGAAGGAACTCTCATTAGGAGGCGGAAACAGCACAAGGAACTCTCATTTAGCCCAACCGGGACGATCACGCAACCTTCTAAAACCAGCAAGTTCGTCCGAAGCCTTTACATTCCCTTGCAGACCCGCTGCTCACCTCCCCCAGAGCCAAACACAATGCATTTGCAGGCTCCAATAGGCTCTCCAAGCAAGCCGACATCTCCCTTTCTATCAGTCCAAACCCCACAGGTAAGTCTTGGCTCAGGACCTACATCCTAAACAAAGCTTCTCAGATGGCCTCGACCCAAACGGTCTGTCCCTCAAAACAGTTAGGGACATTCAACACCAAAATCTTCAAAAACCAAACGCACTTCCACTGCCTGGATCAGCTCCTGTTTTACAGAGGTGTCAGCGCCCCAGGTATGGCTACTTCTTGGAGGACGAAGCCATTTCTTGAATTTCTCCTGTTATAACCTGTGGGGAGACCCTCAACAGGGAGCATCATACGTGCTTTTTAAATGAATGAAAAGGAGAACAGGGTCAACACTGGGAGAAGACACAACACATTCTTGGGTCACAGGCATCTTGTCAGGAAATGCCGAGGGGCTGGCTCCCTGCAGTCTGAGGTCCTTTTTTTGTTTAGAAAAAAAAAAAAAAAATGAAAATCAAATGTGGCTACTTCCTGGTGGTGGAAAGAACAACACTTGAAAATCTGAGCAGCACCTCACATGTGATTTCCGGGGGGGGGGTGGGGGGGGGGCGGGGGGGGTGTGGTTGGGCACCTCCTTTTAAACAGGAGGAGTACTCAGTGCGGTCCCAGAGTCGTGCTGGAGAGCCTGGGCTGCACTGCCAGCCTGCAGTCCCATCTCCATCAGCTTTAAAAGTTCTGCCTCCTCGCTGGAGTACACGGTGGTGTCCGTGTCATCTGAGTGATACCCAGACTGGTAGCCACTGGTCTGGTTGGAGCCTTCAGATGCCACGGATTCCTTGCTTTTGCTGGGCATCAGTCCACTGTGGGAAAAAATGGCAACTGCATAAGTTGGCAGAGAGAAGGCAGTCCTTTGGCTTCTTACCCAAACCCCATTACCAGCACGATGTAGGCTGTAATCTCCTGGAGACACCAGCCCCTATCTCTCCCACTTGTTAATCAGCCTATCAGACATTGTCTGTTTTCAGTACTAGCATGAATTTGTCCTTGCAGAAAAGCCCTCTTATTCAGGTCCGAATCTTTCAAGCCTGCGATGAGATGAAAGGCAGTTCTCCTGACTTATGCAAAGGCTCCGACCAATGGAGCATTTTTATGGGCTTGCGGAGTGACAGGTTTGTATACAGTGATAGGAGCCAAAGGGACTCCTTCGTGATATAAAAGGAAAGTGGGATGTTCTGAAAGTCCACTTGTGCTTTCCCCACATTGCCAACTAGGGGGTTACAAGGCATGTGTATGGTGTCAATAGGGTTCTTGAGCAGCATTAAACTTTAATAACTTGGTGTGTGTGCGGGTGTGTGCGGGTGCGCACGCGCAATCAAACCAGACATGTCAGAAACTGCTTTTTTACTCATCAAAATCACATTCTTTGGAAGGACTGAGGACCTGGATCACTCAGCAGCAAGAAGAGAATGTTTTTCAATGGTGTGGAACCATGACAGATGATAATTATGTTAAAGCTGAGACGTGTAGGTTGTATTGACCTAAAACGTCAAGATTTACATTTCTCAAGGCATTCTAAGATATGGATTTTCCCCCTCCATAAGTGCTTTACCAAGTTATTCATGTTAAAAGTTGCAAAATGGATTTTATTAACTTTGTGCTAATATATGGCTTAAAAGTTTTTTCAAATCACTAGAAATGCAATTTTTTCTTTCAATCCAACCTCAATAAAATAAATTTAGTGTCTCAAGCAACGGCATGGTAACTGGCACATAGTCATTGTTGAATAAATATATTTTGAATCAGTGAATAAAACATGATTGGCTCTCACAATTTCTTACCTTGGCCTTAAGGCAAACAAAACTGCACATTTTAATGTGTGTGGTTTTTTCAACATGAACATCACTCAATAACCCAGGGGTGTTCTCATTTTATACAACAGATTATAAGTAGATAAAAATCTTCTCTATCCTTTTTTAGAACGAACCCACTAGCAAATAAATAACTACTCTGCAGTCTATTATTCTTTTAAATTCAGATTTTCATTTATTTGTTAGGCACATCTATTTAAAACAACTATAAGTTCCTAGGGAACTACATGGAAAAATGGATATTCAAAACTAAGGTTAATATTTTTCCTGCAATTATGTAGGCAAACTCAGCCAATAATATTTAAGTATTTTAAACAAATTGATATTATCTTATTTATATGTCCCACTTCTTAAGAACAGATGCAACATTTATATACAGGTTTGAAAATTCTTCAGATTCTACAAACATTTTAATAATGGCCTCTTTGTTATTTAGCCAGTACCAGACAAATCTTCTAAAAATCCTCTGATTTATTTCAAATTCTTTTTCAGACTCACCACTTGTTTTATTTGTTTAAATAAATATTATTAGGGTTGATGCAAATTTGCCCAACCAACAAAGACACAAAACACAAAAACTCTGCACTTACATCGAAAGTTCTGAGCTCCTGCCTACAACTCCTACTGAAATCTGTCATTTCTATGTGGCTGAACCTTACCTAAAAGATGGAGCTAATTTGTTTCTGTCTTCCAAGGTTTTCAGCTCTTCTGATGCAAGAACCATACCACTGTCCGTCTGGTTGTCCTTTTAAAAAGACAATGAGATGGCACAGTTGATTGAGTGTGTACACTGACCTACTACTTAATTAAACCGATTTCTTAACCCATTTATCAGACAACATGCCCCAATGTTCTACAGAGGGAGGTAAAAGTGTCAGAGCCAGAAACTCTGCAAGCTGAAAGAAGGAGCAACTGCATCCTAGAAGTAGACCCAGGCGGGGAAAAGGAGAAAAATTTAGGAAGAAGAAGCTGAGGGGCCCATTTCCATCCCTCTTTTTCAGTGATACTATTTACATTTGAGGGTAACTAGACATGAAGGTAGAATATCTTGAACCTTGAACCAGGAGCTTTACTTATAGAAAAAGCCAAGGGGCCTAAGTTTCATTTCAGTAGTGACTCCATGACACAGACCCTCAAGGAAAGCCTTATCATGAGTCTCCAAGACTCTCATGCTTAGGCTAATATTTATTTAGCTAATGTTTCGTCCTTTGTATTATTTCTAAGACTATTTTTAAAAGATGTACTTACATCTGGGATTACTTTTACTACTGGTTCTTGCAATGGGATGTCTTCAAATGTTTTTACACTCACAGGCCGGCTCTTTCGCTTACTGTTCTGCAGATACTGACTGCAAAAGAACAAATATTTATATTTTAGTGGTGGTATATTTGGCTGCAGATACCATAAGTGATACTTGAGTTCATTATCTTTCAACCACAAGTTTAACAGTGACCTTCAAAACATCCTTTGGAAAAGAAAAACAAAGCAACATCTTTTTCTGCTAGCGCACATTGAAGGCTTAATTTCCTGTGAAAGTCCATTTAAAAGTATAATCTAACTGAAGGGCCTGGATGGGCCCCTGTTCCTTTGAATCATACTTTTGAGGTCCGGGCTGGACTAAAGACAATAGCAGCAAATTAAGTGATCAACTGCCTTCTGCTTGGCTTCCTCATTGCATGCAACTGCTCCACTGAGTTCTCGCCGTATCACGGAGTGTTTCACAGCTTCCTGGCCATGTCCTAGAAAAATGTTTCTAGATAATGTCTACAGAGCAAACGTCCAATGGAAGATGAGAAAGGGAAACACCTTCAGACATCACTATGGGATGCAGAACCCAGCAGGAGCTGAAGATAATCACCTCTGTCTACATATAATAGCAGCTTCGTGTGTAGACAGAGGCAGGCCGAGTCTCACTGAGCCCTATTTCCAGAGTTGCTGGTCTTAGGAAAGGGCAATGGTTCAGAGTCCCGAGATATTTTGTCTATTTCAAAGTCTACACAAACTTGGGAAAGTTGTGAATATTTCTATGCCTCTGTTGCTTCATCTTTAATATGTATTGGCCATTGCTTTCCCTCCATCAATCAGAAAGATGAATAAGGAGGATGAATGAGGTGGTAAATAATGGTACATGGTAAGTGTTCTTAGAAAGAATGATGTTTCTGTCAACCAAAGATTCTTTTCCTCCCTTGTATTCAAAAGACTGGGACTTGTTGGACAACATCTCCTGTGTCCGAGGGGTGCTCCTTCCCTGCCTTGTGACTTTGGGTGAGTCTGAGCCATCTGATAAAAACCACTGACAGCCCGAGTGGAGAATAGAAGAGTCCTTTTTGCAGGGAGGGACACCAAATCCACTCTTCACTCTTTTCCCAGTGAACTTTCCACCATAGGCAACCTTCTGGACATACTAACTTGCGTTTCCTTTATATTTTCTGTGAGTGAGTGGAGTGAGGACTCATTTGGGCCAAAGGAAGAGACTTGAAACAGAGTCTCCCTCTCCTGCCCAGAGGCTGGTTCTTCCTCCCACAGAGAGGAGCCAATGAAGTTCACAGTGACATCCTCACTCAGGAAAGTCCACAAGAAACAAGACGTGATATACATGGAGACAGAAAAAGCTCCCTTCTCCTAAGTTCAGACCCTAAAAGTGACAGTTGCTAAAAACTATGGGAAGCATAATCAACCACTCAGTCATTCAACTCATTCAAGAATGCCTTCAGGTGCCAGGCACTGTGCTAAATGCTCCTCCACCACTGTCACATGGCATCTTCACAACGGCACCTCTCTCTAGGGATGAGGAGGGTAAGACCAGAGCCAGTGAGAACAAGGAGGGGACACTTCCACTTATCTGGGGGAAAGAAGAGAAGCCTGCCTAAAGAGAGGTGATGCTTACAGGATTTGGAGAAGTGGACAGATTCAAGAGATAGTCAGGATATAGAATCAACTAAAATTGGTGACCTTGGGCAATAATGCAGCTTCCTTAGAAAGGGCAGCTCCTTGACTTCTAAGCCCAGTAACTCCAAAGGTTGATGGCCCTTCACAGTTAAAAAGTCATTTTCATGGATATTGCTGCATTTGCTCCTCCCAAAACTACAAAATAGGTTGTATGAGAGAGAGAGACAGAGAGAGAGAGAGAGAGAGAGAGAGAGAGAGAGAGAGAGAGAGAGAGAGAGAGAGAGAGTTATTTCCCATGTGGAGATGAGGCAGCTGGAGGAAATGGCTAGAATTGGGATTCACACTTTGGTATTAGACACTAAAGCCCATGCAGATGTTGTTTGTTGTTGTTGTTTTTGTTGTTGGCTTTGTTTTGTTCTGTTTTGTTTTACCCTGCTCTATGTTCACTCCCTTGGAAAAGTATCAGGAAGGAAAAAGAAGACGAGAGCAGTGCACATGGATTGTTCAAGCTTTTATTAAGCACCTAGTATGTGCACAGCACAGCTCTCTCCCATGTGTGGCCAGACTGTGTGATGAGACTTGGTGGGGAGAAAGGGTCTGTGGGGTATAAGATAGACAAAAGATGGGGGGAAAAGACAGTTGCTTCGAGCTATCTAAAATCAGCCAAATTCAGAAACCTCTAGCTAGCAGACTGTCCCAAGCATCAATCTTCAAGGAACATTTAGTCATCACCAGCAATTAACCAAAATGAAGAAGATGCTGTGTGTGCCAAAACCTTTTTCTGTGAGAGAACTGAAAAGAAATCTTTGATAAGCTGCTTGGAGTGGGACGTGAAACTACCAGGGGAAATGATGGAGCAACCGCAGATGGTCCCCAAACCGCCTTCAAAGAAAGATGAGTGCAATTAATATGTGTTTTCTTGCAAGAAGCATGCAAACTCGGGGCCAGGGCTGATCCGCAGGGGAAACGAGAGACAAAGCCAAGTCTAGACACCGGTGGTCCTTCCTCCCCTCCCCTCCTCCCCTCCCCCCCTCCCCCGCACACCTCTTAGCCTCTCTCTAAATAAATGCTGAACACATATTTTTAACCAGGCGGCAAATCATGAGGTTGGCTCCCACAGCGATGCCTCTGTCCAGCTCTATTTATAAAGCAATGGAATTGAAAAGTAGAGGGAGGAAGCAAGTGAGAGAGACTCCTCAGCTTTTCTACTTGACTGGAAATTTGGGAGAGGAGGAAGCAAGTCCGCGGAGAGGTACCCCAATCTCGGCTCTCTCTCCCCAGGGAGGCAGAACCACAATATGAAGCGTGCCGTGTGCAGATGCCTCCATTCTGCCTTCCTTTGAACCCAGATGATTAAAATGTGACCGTGGAGTCTTATGTTTGTAAAAGGAGGAAAGGTGGGGGCGGTTGGGAGGGCATGCGGACAAAAGATTCCAATTTCCATTTTATTTTTCAAATTATGGCTGGATAAAAGAGAAACTGAACTGGAAAGACCAATTCAAAAAATCACAGGCAGAAAATAGAAGCCAGGCCTGTGCTTGGAGTGTGATGTCACATTTGTCCACGCTTCTGGGGATAAATGTTAGCAGCCCCGTCTCAGATCCTGCGCTGTGTTTGGCACTTCCATTACACAGGGATGACTTCATCCACTCTCAGCACCATATGCAAAGTGCCCACGCGAGCCAAGATGCTGCTGACTTGGTCCTCACCCCCCCTGGTCACAGAAAACCTAAGCCACAGACTTCAGGATCAAATGGCTTTCTGATCCATGAGAAGGCAGTAGTGTTGTGGGGATAATTACCACACCAGGAGGCCAGCTGAACTTGAACTAGGACTTTTTTTTTTTTTTTTTTTTTAAACTCAGGAGTGGAGCTGTAGGCATTCATTCCATTGCTCCTTCTCCCTGAGAGCCCCTCTTTGGTGAGGGAGAAAGCGGCACTGAGTTCGATATCAGAGAAACTGGATTCATCCAGAGGATGTGATTTTAAGCAGCTCCCAAAAGAAGTATAAGTTCTGGAGTGCTTCCTAAGTGCCAGTGTATTCCCTTGGAAATACCGTTATATCGGTAATTCTCAAAACAATAATTTTCGAACACCAGGGATCTGGCCTCTGTCACAGTGAAGATCTGCCCCAGGGCATACAGCTGCTAAGGGGCTGATCTGGGTGTCCAAGCCACTCCTATCTGGTTCTTGAATCACAATATTGTATTCCCCCCAGGTAATCCCTCTGAGCCTCACATTCAATATCTGGTCAAGGGCATGTACCTTGGTTGCGGGCACATCCCCAGTAGGAGGTGTGCAGGAGGCAGCTGATCGATGATTCTCTCTCATCGATGTTTCTAACTCTCCATCCCTCTCTCTCTGCAAAAAATCAATAATATATATATATATATATATATATATATATATATATATATATGTATATAAAAGGAAACAGCCCTAACTGGTTTGGATCAGTGGATAGAACCTCGGCCTGTGGACTCAAGGGTCCCAGGCTCGATTCCGGTCAAGGGCATGTACCTTGGTTGCGGCCACATACCCAGTAGGGGGTGTGCAGAAGGCAGCTGATCTGATCAATATTTCTCTCTCATTGATGTTTCTTATTCTCTATCCCTCTCCCTTCCTTTCTGTAAAAAATCAATTATATATATATATATATTTTTTTTTTTTTTTAAGGTAACAGTTTCTTCCTTGCCCAATGCTAAGTTGTCATGTGTGCAAAATCGGGTAACATAAGGAAAAGCTGTTTGAAAAATTCCAAGAGTTCTTGACAAAATGGAATGGCAGCTCACTTGTTGGCCTCCAATCACTCTGAGCTTTCCTCTCTCTCAACAGTTTCCACTGCCCAATGAGATGCCATGGCACAGACTGTCCAGGTGCCTCCTCGTCTTCTATGTGGCAACCTGGCCAAGGGCTTCGAGGCCTGTGTCCGCCCCTGGAGCCACAGCACAGCACCGGGGCAACTTGGGCCCATGCCGTCAGGGGGTCCAGTTGTAGGAGGAAAACACCCAAAGTGGTGCGAGAAGAAACAAAGCCAAGGGAAGTAGTCCTGGGCTTAGTAAAAGGCAATTTTCATGTCAGACTGGAGAAAACCGTATCAGCTTTTTCCTCACGCACAGGTGCTGGGAGACAGAAAAAAGAAAGCTGCCTTCGGAGCCCCTTTACAGATCAGGGTAGGACTGCAGTGCACGTGTTTTAAATAAGCCCAGAAGTCTCGTTATACAAATACAACCCTGAAAAAAAATCAGACTTGGGAGGGGTTTCTGAAGACGTGCTGTCCAGTCTAATTCAGGGCACATCCTCCTGGCACACGACATCCTAGCCCCAGAGGCATAAGCGTGTTTTCGTATATGCACAGAACTCCTCCTTCCTGAATCTTTCCTGAGCCATTTAATTCACGTTAATAAAAGAGTACATGGGGATAATTTAAATACAGATGTCTTTGTAAAATTGGTCTCTTTTCCTGGTGATTAACAAACTGTGGCATCCCAGCTATTTGCAGCTGCAGGGCTTCCCATTCTGAAAGGAAGAGCTGCGGCAGCAATGTGGGCTACAGATGGGCAGAAGCACACCTACCCGGGTCCTCTTCAAGGAGCACTTCTCTTTCTATTAGCCTCAGGGCTATGGTGTAATGTGGAATGTCTTCCTTCCACCCCCTCCCCAAGGTGACCTTGAAGCAACCCCCTCCCCCATACACAGGCCATATATATAGTACCTGATTCCTGCTGTGTTGTCATAATGGAATTTGGGGTCGCAGGCTTCCTCTTCCTCCATACAGGAAACAGGTGAGGTGGGCAGAGAGAGTCCAGAATCCTCTTCCATGCTCAAAGTCTCCGATATCGGAAGGACAATGTAGTCTTTGCCATCCTGAAACAATAAACACAGAGTGCTATTGTTATGGCTGCAATCCTCCAAGGGCCTTTTCATGAAAAAAAACACACACACACACACACACACACACACACAAAAACAAAGGCCAGGGAGCTTCTCGGTGATGGGGTATGTTGCCTTCACGTAGGAAATGTAAACCTTTAAGAGAACATTAAAAACTCCTTGTCAAAACAAAAGGGCACTTGGAAGGGATGTGTGCACGAAAGTGTATGCAAGGAGCTCACGAATAAGCAGAGGGTGAGGGGACACAGAGCACTGTGGCCACCAGGAAGACCAAGCAGGCTGTGGGCACCAATGTAGCAACAGAGCATGCGGGGCCTCGCAGAGCTGAGAAATCATTTGTTCACAAAGCCCTACCCACACTGGCCAGGACCTTTAAAGGGCATGTTGTCCAATTTTAGCCTCTACATTCCAAGGCAATGGAAAAACTGATCGCGGTCTAGAAAAAAAGCAATAAATGTGCGGGGAAACAGGTCTTCTAAAAACAAAGGTCACTCCATTTCTCATTATTTCATCAAAAGGAAGACATAAAGGGCAAGATGATACCTTTAAATGGTTGGAAGGGTTATGATAAAAACAGATTTGATCCATCGTGTTCCCCCACTACCCTCCCTACCTCCTGTTCAAAAGAAAAGTAGGAGGAAATTGACTTCCATTCACTGTAGTGAGAGGTATTGACTAGAGATTAACTTTCTAGTGGTAAAGGCTACAAGTCTAAAAATCCTCCTATGGAAGTTATGGGGGCCTCGGATTTTTACTGGGGAAAAATAAAGCCATGTGTTTTTGCCCGCAGAATATATTAAAAATTCCTTGAAATTCCATCCATTGTTGATATTCTTTATATCAACTTTACAAATTTGTTGTTGTTGTTGTTGTTGTTACTTTAGAAGAGTATATGAAGGCTTAGAAAGATGCATTGGTAGAAATAAGAGTGGTCTGCTGAATTAGGACTAGCAGTTAAAAAGAATATAGCTTCGTATTCAGTGGCTGAGAATATAGCATAGTGGCCATGATAAGGTCTAGGCTTGTGATCGGCAAACTCATTAGTCAACAGAGCCAAATATCAACAGTACAACGATTGAAATTTCTTTTGAGAGCCAAATTTTTTAAACTTAAACTTCTTCTAACACCAAATCTTCAACATAGACTCGCCCAGACCGTGGTATTTTGTGGAAGAACCACCCTCAAGGGGCCAAAGAGCCGCATGAGGCTCACGAGCCGCGGTTTGCCGACCATGGGTCTAGGCTGTAGAGAAGTCCGGGACACTAAAGTGCTCTTTACAGAAGTTCATTGGATGGCGGTCACAAACCTGCTGAGCATTAGCCTGTAACAGATTTCCCAAATGTTCCACCAGCTCTGAAAACGTGGGTCTCTGATTGGGCTCCCCGTGCCAGCAGTCAAGCATGGTCTGGTACCTAGAGAAGCAAAACACGGATGTCATTAACTGCCTCTTCCTCCTGATCTGATGCTGAAAACAAGCACTTGAATGAGCAAACAGTTACAAAAAGTCTACCAAGAGCCAAGATGCTCAGTAGGGATACAGAAGACACTTGGCGCTCCCTATACTTGGAGCATCACGTGTACAGAAAGGAAAATTACAGATCAAGATATAATTAAAAAAAAAAAAACAAAAAAAAAACCTAATAGAATAGTATAGATACCATGCTGTTGTTTCAAGAAGAAGAGATAGCTTTGTGCTTGAGATTTCCAAGGAAGGACTACAAGAAAGAAGTAGGACACAAACTGGGCCAGGAAGGAGATGCAGATAATGGCAGGTCTTCTAGGCAGGGAGAATTTGTGAGCAGAGAAAGAGAAGCAGAGGATACTTTTAAAGTCTTACATTTCTGGTGTGGTATAATCAGGTGCCCTCATTCTAGTGCCTTCTTTCAATCGCCTACAAAATTCCTCATCAATCTTCACTCCAGGATATGGAGAAGCACCTGGAATAAAACAGGAATGGGATTTGATTTGTTACTTGATTTTCTCAGGCAGAAAGCCTTGAACCTGCTACTTGAACATACTGATCACCAATATATTTTTCCTTTCTTTTTTAAAAGAGATTTTACAACACAAAGCTTGCGAGTCAGTTTCACCCAATAAAGGTTGAATACAAGACATGGAAAGGTGATTGCAGGCCACTGATTTATCATTTTATTTGGAGTCTGGATGGAAGGACCAAGAGAAGTGACTTACCTAAGGAAAATATCTCCCAGAGCAAGACACCAAAAGACCACACGTCACTCTGAATCGTGTACACTCTGTCAAAAATGGTTTCCGGAGCCATCCATTTCAAAGGGAGGCGTGCCTAAAGCAAGCAGAAGACAAGGAATCAGATTCCAACTTAGCAAGTGTCTTAAAAGGAAAAACACTTCCTTTCCTCCTGAACACAGGTCCTGAAGTTTGCAAAGAGGAGTTTGAATTCTGCAAAAGAAGAGGTCACTGGGTTCATCTTTGAAACTTACGTCTCCTTTTCGGACATAATCAGGGTCTTTGTAAATATCCCGGGCCAGGCCAAAGTCACAGATTTTAACCACATTCTTCTCCGACAAGAGGATATTCCGTGCCGCCAGGTCCCTGTGGATACACTGCAAAAAGAATGGGGTGTGCTTCAGGTCTCAGCACAGCTGATCTTTTCTACATCTGTTGTGACCTCATGCTTTTAAAAAAAACACACCAAGAAAAACCAACCAAACAAGCAAACAAAAAAAAACAACCCACATCAGAAAACCAACTGATTAACAAGCACCGGATTAATATCTTTTATCAACACTTCAGGGGAAAAGTCTGAGGTTCCTTAAGACGCACATCTGCTTATTCCATAAACAGCCCCAGACCCTGGAGTTAAATAATTAAGTTACAGTGTGATGAGGGAGTCATAAATAGACTTCTCTTGGACACAATTAAGAATGTGTTTCTGGTCACATCCACACATCCCCTTTGCCCGGCTCCATATACAGCTGAAGCATGTTATTCTAAGGGACGCCCAGACTGGGGTTTATTTTGAATGAATGCACGGAAACCAGAAACAAGGGGCTCTCGCTGGTTCGGTGCCTTTGTTGGTTTCCCCCATTCCATAGGTAACTGAAGCTGGACTGGCGCTGATAAACAGTTCCCAGTGGGGCTCATCCTGTTTTCAAAGTGTAGGGTTATCATAAAGGTCTACAGACGCAACGTCAGCTTCTCACTAGTCAGGTTGATTCTCTGGTGCACCAACTCTCCTTGGCTTTCCTTTCCTTCTTTTTCCTCTCCCGTTTCTCCCACCTCTATATCCTCCAACTTCATCTAACTTCCTACTACTGAGAAGCTTGAGCTCCACCTGGTCGATTTATGAGAGAATCAGAGTCAAGGGGAACATTTTTAAGTGAATAAAAGGCTTAGCTGCGAATTCTTAGGCCAGTGCAGAAGTGTTATTGGCCAACCTGCGCCTCAGACCTCACACCAGTGTAGTACTTCCCTCAGAATGAGGCATGTTTAAAAGCACATCATCTAGCATGACTGAGCAACAGGAGATTCCAAAAAACAGACAGCCCTGCCTACTTTCTTTCGCACCTAAGAGCGTCCTTTTTTAGCCCAACCACCAAGTGATGTCCAATAAATCACTGGGGAGATGCAAGGGAAGCTAAGGGATCTCCCTCCTCCCCATTCCCTGCCCAGTCCCTGAAAGGAGCCCTGACTAAATGGCAGGCTCTGGCCCTAAAAAAGTAATTTTTAAAAAACCAGAAGGGCAAAGGTCCTTCGTCTTTGGGAAAACCATGTAAGACCCTCTTCTCTTTCTTCCCTGTGGGAGGGAAGACAAGAGCTCCCCGTAGATATATCTGAGATCCTAAAGCTCTGGAAGCTCTCAGGACCTTTAAATTTCAGAAAAATCAGTGGATTGGGAAGAGTACTCTAATTTAGAAAAAACAAAAAGCAAATAAACAAACCAAAATCCCCCAAATTTAGTCTTTCTTCTCCCAGGAGGCTGCTGTAGCAAATGGATTTTGCCAACCAACAATTTTTCTTGACACTTAATTTGAACTTTTTTTTTTGTTTAATGTCAAACCAGCCATTGTACCTTTTTTCCAGAGAGGTGACTTCAGCCAACCTTGCTCCCTCCCTGGTGTTTACAACTTTTGGAATATTTGTAACTTGTCACGTCCCCACCTCCGCCTTTGTTTGGCCTACTTTTCTAATTTTAGCTCTTTTAATCTCCCTCATCTGAAGCCTGTCCTTCCTGGTTTCTAATTATACTACTAACAAATACTTTTTTGATGGATGGTGATGAATGTAAAATTAATTAAAAATAAACATATCTTCAAGGCTCAGACCCTCACCTCTTCCAGGTCATTGCTCAAATGCATATAAAGCCTTCGTTGGCCACTTTGTTTAAAATTGATGTACACAAACATAAGAGCATGTGCACACAAATATGCCACTCCTGCACACTCTATAAGCTTCCCACTTATTCTTCCCCATAGCACTTACTCCCATCTGACTTACTATGTATTTTACCTGGTGATATTTACTGTTTGCTCCACCCGTGAGAATGCAAACTCCATGAAGCTAGGAGGTTTTGCCTACTTGTTCAGAGTATCCTTAGTGCTTAGAAGACTGCTTGCACTTTGGAGATGCTCAATAATCAGAGGCTCAAAAATCACATAAATTAATTTTGTAAAATCTCTATATGCCCTTAAAAAAGGGGCGGGGGCTGGGGGAAGGCCCTCAGCAATAGAGTCTCTTAATTGTCCCAGGAGTAGTAAATGAATTACAGTCCCAAACAGACAGCAATGCCTGGCACTGGAGGTCTTAGTTCCAAATCTATGAACTGAAGAGACACTCTGTTACCCCTTGAGCTGTCTTACCTTCCGAGATGCCAAAAACTCCATGCCCTTAGCCACTTGGAAACTGTAACAGATGAGGTGCTCCAAGGTCAGGAAGTTCTTGTACAGATCTTCAGAAACTGTCAGGAGGTGCAGGAGACAGAGATCAGTATTTCCACCAGAAGCTATTTGTTTATAAGTCTGTTAGAGTAATCTTCATCTTATAACTTGGGAGTTAAATTTCGGGAAATACAAGAAGAAAGAAATTGCCTCTTTCTTCTGTAAATTTGCTGAATGCCAGTATTATTAGCCCTCATCATACCCCTTAGCAAAAATAGTTTTTCCATTTCAGCCAAATTGAACCAGCAAATACAGGAGACAGAATAAAGGTGAAATTGGCACAGATAACAGGGTGAAAGAGGACTTTTTCAAGTGTACTGTTCTAAACTGTTGTGTGTGTTTTTTTTCATGTACCCAGAGGGGTAAACAATAGTTTCATATCAAGAACTCTAAAAATAAAACAACAATATTCAGGGTCACTGCATCTTTTCTCTCCAGGCTTTGTCCTGGGACAAAGAACAAAGGTCAAATTATAATCTACAACGGATAACTAAAAATACCAGAAATATATTGACTTCTCTCACTTTCAATATGAGAAAGTGCTGTAAACACAATAAACCTGGCCTAAAAGGATGCTTTCTTCCTTCAAGGATAGGAACGTGAAGACAAAGGACAAATTTACGTAAATTGGTGGTATTTACATCCGTGCAGCTGGTACAAATAAACCCTAAGACATTAATGGGTGTTTCAACATCTCTTAACTTTCATCAGATAAGATAAGACATGGCTATTTTCCTGGAGACAATTACCAAAGTAAATGCAAAATCAACTGTAATAACCTTGTAAGTATTAAAAGGGCTTGAAACCATTTTCTCAATGACTTTTTACCCTTAGACCTAGAGAGCCATCTATGAATGGTTAGTGAAAATCCTTCATTTTCCAAATGAAGAAATGGAGGGAAAATCCTATACTCTTTCTACTCCAGTTTACTACCTCAATGCCTTGGGTTTCCATCTCACTGGCTACCATGTTGTGAGAGAGAAGGATAGGGCAGAGATGGCTCCGCTCAGGGTGGGTCCAGTTATGTGAGGTCTGGACAACCTTCCCATACTCTTCTAGACCACCTTCCAGCCTCACACTGCCTGCTAGGCTTCTAAGGGAAAGAAGTTGGATTTCAGTACTACCTATGGCCACAGGTCAAGGGAAATGGTGAGTGTCTCCCACTATTTCATGACTAGGTTATTTAGAGCTCATGCCTCAGGAGAAGGCAGATGTCAGGAAGCCCTATCTCTACATCCATGGAGCTCCCTCTGCTCCTTCTGAGGGAAGAAGATATATGGTGTATCCTGGAGTCAGAAGAAGTCCCGGAAGTGCAGCTGGGAACACAGCACCACTCAGAAAGAGCCCTACGATATCCTAGGAAGCAGAATTGAATAAAGATATATTTACCAAGAGTTTTCTGAGGAAGACTGGATGAAAGGAAGACTTGATAAGTCAGGTAGGGTGGCGTAGAAACAACAGATGGCCCTTACACTGCCTTGGAGAAGGTTAGGTAAAACTAGCGGAACCTCTGCTGTGCTGGTGAAGTCATCAGTGTGGGGCTGAACTGCTTTGGGCAACAGGGAGGCTCCTCAGCCACAAGAGAGCCTTCTTTGCCCTTCCAGAACAAAGCTCTGAGTCTCTCCTGCCAATATTTGAAGGGCAATGGTTTGACAGTTGCCCACTGCTTAGCTCTCCTGGGGACTGAGATTTCTCAGGCTAGCCAGGCTTTGTCTTACAGCCTCGCCTGCTGCTTATTTAGGCTCCCACACTTCACCTTTGGGAGACTAACTGGAGCCAGTCTAGAAATTCAAACATTGGGTTAGTATTGGACTTTTCCCTTGGCAGAATTTCTCGCCACACCCTGTCACCTTGCCTGTTCTTACAAGAGCATGAGTGAAGGGTGGAGAAAGCAATGGCTGGTACCTTCCTCCTCCTCCACATCACTGAGGGACTTCTCCTCAACAAATCCAGAGCTGGCTGAGCTCTGGCTGCTGGTGATACTGTCCAAGCGGCGTTTAGGATCCATGGTTATTTCCCCAACGTATTCTTTCCCTGGACGGTATCGTGTCCCTTTGGTCTGTAAAAAACAACAACAACACACCCACATGAACAAACTCCTTGACTACAAAAGGGATCTCTAAAATGTAGTAAGCCTTGGAAACAATTTTAACTGATATTAAAAAGCAGACCAGAATGACATCAATGTCAAGATTATGAAGTTTCCAGGCTAAAATTTTAGACAAGTGTTCTATAGAATAGATTTTCATCCACAAAGTCTAGCTCTTTCTTTTTAGCTCACAGAGCTAAAAGCCTCATTTCAAGTTTCAATCAGACACACTTCTAATATTAGAGTGCTCTTTATAGAGGGATTTCCACTCACTAGGGTCAAATAGGGGAGAGAGAGAGAGAGACTAATCCAGAGCTGTCCCTATCTGTAATTACGCCCACTTTCTCCCTTCCTCAGGCCCCATCTATAAAGGGTCAGTAGATTAAAGTCACAAAAATAAAACATGAGAAGATCACAGCCCCCAGAAGATAAAAGAGGAGGTTATAACCCCCAAGAGGTAATTCAAGAAGATTCCTCACAAGTTTTTCACAGAATTTTAACCAAAAAAATTGAATCTGTACCACTCTGAATTTTCCTCCATTTTACACTGTAGCCAGAGTTGAGTTATGAAATGACATACCTTGTAGGGGACAAATTCATTTCTCTTGCTCCTTAAGTAAGTTGATAGGTTCCCAAACTTGCAGAATTCCACAATCACCATGAGTGGGCCTGTAAATAGCACAGAATGTCAAGAAAGGAAAATGTTTTTCACTCATGTTTCTCACTAAGTGTTTAGCATATTTTTTGAATCAGAAAATATCACAGAAATGCTGCAACCTTTCACTGGGGATGGGATCATAGGAATCAGCTGGTCACAATCCACTTATATTGTAGCTTTGCTTTTTCCAAAAGGCAATTCCACAAGACTGACAAAAATAAAAAGATAAAAACCCACCCACTTGCTTTTCTATACAATCACCTAAGATGACTTCATTTTAGGGGAAATTACCGTTAAGGTCCTTTGTTTTTAATTTTGGGGGGAAGTTTCTTTTTCTGATCTGAACACCAATTGCACAAGTAGCAAACTGCATTATAGTTATGTGACATTTTTTCATTCGTAGGAAGATCCAGAATTATTTATAGTGCCCACTTAACCTCCATAAAATATATTTATATGGAAATCAAGGCCATGAGAGTTGAGTGGTTCCCTCAAAGACCAGCAGAGATGCATATGCCCAAATTGGGCAAACCAGAACCGTCCACAGATACTCACCTCCTGGCTTGGTACAGGCGCCTAGAAGATTGACCACATTGAGATGATGGCCAATATGAATGAGGATCTTGAGTTCAGACATGAGGGCTCGGTGTTCACTGTGTGTTGCTCCTTCTACAAATACAGGGGGAAGAGGGAAATCATAAGTGTGGGCACTACCGTGGGAAGATTAAGAAGCTCTGCAACTTTCCCTCCAGCAATGATACAACTGTAGCCCTATTTGCAAACTAGTGCATTCCCCTGGAAGTCAAGTATAAATTATATTTTCTAATTCCAAATCAAATTCTTCCTTGACATTGAAACTGGGTCTCTGAACTATTGGACTTTGAAATTGGGACTCAAACGTTTTTTGTTTGTTTGTTTGTTTGTTTGTTATTATATGTTTATTTCTAGTCTTCAGTTGCAAGATTTTTTAAAGAAAAGAAATGGGGGAAAATTGTTATAGAGTAAAGAACCATTGAACAGACTACATCAAACTATGGCAGGAAAGCAGGGGAGGTTGGGGAGTGAGGGCTGTAAGAGAACAACTGAAGGACTTATATGCATGCATATGCATATGAACATAGCCAATGGATATAAGACACTGGGGGTGGGGGTGAAGGCAGGTGAAGGCATAAGCTGGGGAGAGGTCAAGGGGGGAAAAGGGATTCATATGTACTACTATTTGTAATGCTTCAAACAATAAATAAATAAAAAATAAATAAATAAAATATTTTTTAAAAATTCTTCCTTTAAGTGCACTCAGAATGTTTGATATTTAAAGGAACCCATTGTGAACTCTTTTACAAAGTGGAGAATACATCTGCAAATGGAATTGTGCCCAGATTTTCTTGTTTTGTAAAATTGGGTTTTCATATACCAGTTTTACTATGCTTCTTGGGGCCTGATTATTTCGTGCTTCCTCGTAAGGAAGCAATACCATGGATTAAATATCCTCATGTGTTCAGGGCTATGCTGAAGTTCCCGCCAATCTGTGCTGAGCAGGAAACTTAACAAGGGCCAGCTGGCAAGGCCAGTTGGCACACAAGGCTGATGAGGCTAGGACTGTAAGTTTGATCCAGCACCAACCAGTACACTTCCCTGTAATTCACAGACATGGTCCACACTGCAGGTCCTGATAAGCCACCTCAAAATCACATATCCCTTTGGCCACAAGAGAGAATAGGCAAAAGGAAAGAGAGATGGCTCGGACATGCCATCAAGACCTATTGACAGAGGGTAGGTAGATTATCTTCATCAATAAAAGCACATCACAACTGGAGCAAAGGGTTTTATATGCATCCCCTCCCCAAATTAAAATGGCAAGACCAGAAGTCCATTACTATTAGGAGTAACAATTGTTCACAAAGCTTTTAACTTTTTATATATCACCCATAATCCTTTTATCCTAGCACACCATCCCTATTTTTTATATTATCTTTTATATGCAGAATATTTAACATATTCCAATTCTAGGGAGCTTGCTGTTTTTGCACTCTACTATTTTTATTTATTATATCAAATTTATTTTCATGTTCTGATGGCCTATAATTACCTTACTAATGCATCATAATAAAGCAAGAAACAATTTTTATGTAGCCAAGGTGTTTTTCCCCCCATAGCCAGGCCACTCACGCAGTACAGTTGTGCAAGCTGTGTCTTGCACAAGGACTCGCAGGTAAGGTGGGGAGGGGGGTTGCTGAAACTCATCCCTCATTTTCCCTCCCTGACCATGTACCCTGGCATGAAACTAGAACAGAGGAACTTTATTTCCAAATTTCACAAAGGTAAATAAGTTGACTGCATGCTTGGCTAGTGGGTCCACCTAACCAGAGAGCCACTGATACAGGCCTTTCCACCATGTGTAAAGACCAAATCAAACAAATAGAGGGTTACATCACCGTATAATTTTGTTTTACCTTTCAACATTTTGACGGCCACTGTCTTGCACGTCGCTGTCTTGTCAATTCCAAAGGCATCTGCTTCAATCACTTGGCCAAAGGCACCACGTCCAAGAGGCTTACCTATAGTCAGCAGTGACAGCAACAACAAAACAGATCTGGGCTATTACACCACCAAAGGGATATGCAGAGATTCCTAACTAGGCACAGGGACCATGCATTCCAGTTTAGCATGAACAGTCCACTTTACTCCCTTGTCCTGGTTTTATAATTCGGTATTTATCCCTTTCACTCTCCAAATATCCTGCTTTGGATGATTATAAAGAACCCTACTTCTAAGTCACTAAAAGGGTAATTATTCAAATTCAAGCAATGAAATGAATATTTCTGAATTAGAATCCAACATTTGCAAAGACTAGATTTGTTAGCATCCTAAAGAAAGACGAGATGGCTTAATAAATCCAGTATTAAATTAATATATCTTGAAAGCATACCTAGTTTCAGCCGGTCTCTGGGGAATTCCCATTTGCTGGCATCATAAGGCAGGCGTTCACAGTGTTCATCCAAGGGGAGTTCGTCTGGATCCATGACGATGGACAAGTAGCCTGTCTTCAGTTCCCCTCCATTGGCCTGGAAAGCATTACTCCTGTCAGTCACATACACTCTTGTTTGGCTGTTGTTTTGTGTACTTGTTATTGCTTTAATAGAAGTCTCATTTTTAAATAAAACTCACAGGGTTTGAGAGTTTTATATTATAATCCTGTTTCCAGTGTCCTCTCAACTCCCAAATGAGCTCAGAATTAAGTTATTAAATTTTAATTACACTAGACAGTCCAAGCCCTTTTCTCCTCTAGTGGTTTCCATCAATTAAAGCCCAGTGGTTCAGCCAAAAGAAAGTGGGCAAGATGCTATTGTATTGAAATATACTGTGCCCATTGAGCCACTAACAATGGGAAGAAGCAACTCCGAGAGCCCTAGTCAGCTTTCATTAATCACGAAAACCAACATGCATGGGATGGAAGAGAAATTATTTTGTTACCCTCTTAACAGTCCGTAGAACAATGACAAGAAGTAGCCAGAAGAACATGGCAATCACTGCAGTGCCCACTAGAATAATGACTTCCAAGTTGGTCTTTTCCTGAGCACCTGGAAAGGCACAATTGAATGAGCATCAACAGCTGGAAACTCATACCTTTTGATATAAGATGGCAAAGCTCAACTCTTAAGCAAGATCTCAAGCTTACCAACACAGAAAAATCCTGAATAAAAAGTCACACACCTCTAACTTGGATGGAGTTTATACTACTATTAATGGGTAATTTAAAGTTTGTAAAGCTTTGCTCATGAAAACTTTCAACAATAAAATTCTGAAATAATTAAGGGTAGAAATAGCAATGTCTCCAAAGACAACCATAGAAAGTGTTTGAAAGAAGACTTTGATGGAAAAAAGACCATGTTTTATAGAGAAGAAAAGTACTTCTAATGGGGAAAAGTAAATGTCTGGTTTTACTCTGATAATCTATATTTTGATCTGTATAGTTTTGAGAAAGAATAACAATGAACAAACAAAATAGAAATAAATTCATAGAGAACATTTTAATGTTTGCCAGATGGGAGGAGATTGGTGAAAATGGGCAAAAAGGGGGAAAAGATTAAGACATACAAATAGTCAATTATAAAAACAGTCACAGGATGTAAAGTACGGCCTTGGGAATATAGTCAATAATGTTGTAATAACTAGGAATGGTGTCACTTTATAAGTTATATCAATGTCTAATCACTGTGCTGTATATCTGAAACTAACACAATATTGTATGAAAACTGTAATTAAATATATATATATATATATATATATATATATATATATATATATATATATATAAAACTCTCAGGAAATGAAAGAGAAGAGAAAAAGCTAGAGGTCGACAAGGAAAGCTGCAGAAGCTCATCGCTCTGCTCCAGAGGACAGCTCGCAGTGGGAGAAATTGAGCCCAAAGGATGCTTTCTGCTAAGAGTGATTAGCAGAAAGGTGATAAGGAAGCAATTATCACTTTGAGCCCCAGTGGATGAGGGCAGCTTGCATCAAACCAGCCACAAGCTGTGAGTGGCCCATGGCAGCCCCGAGGAGGCAGAAAGACAAGTAATTAATTAGTTAGCAAAATAGGAGTTAATAGTTGAAAGGCAAGCACCAAGGATGTTTGGAAGTAGATTGTGTTTCCCTGGTGGATGTATTCAAGTAATTCTCTATTTATACTTGGAGATTTAAAGCTCATTACACATGGTAAAAAGTTCAAAGATTCAATTGTCAATATAGGTTTGTGTATTAATCCTATCTAATAAAAGAGTAATATGCAGATTGACCATCACTCCAGCTCACAAGATGGCTGCCCCATGTGGTCAAAGATCCTGCCCCCATGTGGACACAAGGTGGCCACCATAAGATGGCCAGCAGGGGAGGGCAATTGGGAGGGACCAGGCCTGTGAGGGAGGGAAGTTGGGGGTGACCAAGCCGGCAAAGGAGGGAAATTGGGGGCAAACAGGCTGGCAGGAGAGCAGTTAGACATCAATCAGATTGGCAGGCAGAAGCCATTAGGGTCAATCAGGAAGGCGAGCAATTGGGAGCCAGCAGTCCTGGATTGTGAGAGGGAAGTTGGACATCCCTTGAGGGGTCCCAGATTGGAGAGTGTGCAAGCTGGGCTCAGGGACACCCCCCACCCTTTGCATGAATTTCGTGCACCAGTCCTCTAGTATTGCCATAATAACATTTGAGAACTTAGCAGGAAAATTAAACATTTATCTCTTCCTTTCTTAGTATTTTCCTTGGGAGAGAAGTAAATCTAGTCCCTGTGCCAATGTTACCTACTTAGCTATTGGTAACCAGACACAACCAACTAACCGAGGTGAGGCAGAGCAAAGGATAGACATGGACGTCTCCATTAGAATTTCCCCCAACATGAAGCACTTAGGAAGTGACAAAACCACCATCTCACTTGAAATCTTTATTTCATGCACTTGAAATCCTTACTTGCAAGTGCAATTTAAGAAATGATAATAAGCCTAGATATTTGAAAACAAGTCATGGTTTTGAGAAGCAATACTTGGCAACAGAGATTTAATAGATTAAAGGGACTACAATTTGGACTTTGAGAGACAAGTTAGGATGAGTTCATAAAAATCCATCAGTTCCTCCACCTGTCACCACCCTTTTTTCTTCCCCTTCATACCATTCCTTTGCCCACATAATATGCTTTTATCATCCCTCTGATGGGTTATTAACAAAGAGAGAGAGAGAGAGAGAGAGAGAGAGAGAGAGAGAGAGAGAGAGAGAGAAATATACTCCTAAAGATAAAATAGTCTGTCACAAACTACCTTTCCCATCTGAGAAAATGCCTGATTTTACATCATTCCTGCATACACAGACAAGTTTCCTTTCAAGTTCAGATAAGAACCCAAATTTTTCATTTCAGCAAAGCAATGGTCTATTGTTCACGAATGAATCTTAATTGTTTTTAGTCCGTGAAAACCACGAACATAATTGTGACTATTTGGATAGCATTTATTTCCATGACTCAGCAGTAATTCTAATGATTTCCCCAATAAATATAAAAGTATAATTCCATAACAATTTCACTGAACCATTCAAATAAAATAAAATAAAAAAGAATCGGGGAAAGGTAGATATTCTGCCTGCTTGGCTAAGAATTTTTCCACCATGAGAACTGCAGGGACAGAAATGTGATGCACACCAAATGAAAATAACAGTAATTATGTGTCTGATTAAAATAATATATACTTATAATAGAACATTTACGGAGTACAAAGAATATTTAAAAATAAACTATAATCTTCCCACCCAAAGTGTATAAGACATAAACTAATTTTTAAAAACCATCTGACGTGTCTATGAAGTCCCACTGACCTTCTATGATGAAAAACGCCTCCACCTTAGCACATCCAAGAACATTGCATGCCTGGCAGGTGTATAAGCCCTCATCCTCCTTCCTCACCCTTCGGATAGTTAGGTTCCGGTTCCCATCTTTCAGTACGATCCCTAAGAGAAAAAGAACATTTTGGCTTTTATTTATGACGTGGCCTAGTGTAGTTTTTCAGGGGGAAAAAAATTTTGTTTTTAAAATATAAATGCTGCCCTTTATCTTGGCTATTATCTAGCTCCAAAGAGTCCTTACAATCAACTGCTGACTCATCACACCTGGCTTCTAGGAGAATTCAAAAACTCTCTGAATACTGGGATTTCGAGTCTATGAAATGAGTCAGACCAGGGACACTTAGATAGTTGTTGTTGTTGTTGTTTTACCTCAAACAAATTTAAAAAAATAATAATATGGATTTTGGACAACATCTTCAGGAAAATTCTGCAGTATAAAGAGAGACAGACATGTTCTATTCACCTGAGTCTTCCACAAGCGTCTCATTATCTTTAAACCAGGAAACCTGTGGAGGGGGATTCCCAGACACTGGGCAGGAAACTTCGATGGTTTCACCAATACTTGTGGTCTGATTCTCCAGGGTTGCTGTCATCATGGGCACCATGCGCTCTTTGCACACAGAAAGAAAATAGAACGTTTAGGTATTAACTTTTGAAATGGTTTGAGTATCAGTAAACTGTTATACCATTTAAACTTAGTAAACAGTAGTACACTGTTGATTCACTAAGCTGAAAACACACAGAAGGTGATACCAGTACCGCTGGTCACTGAGTAAAGTGAAATGAATCAATAAATCAGGACGGTTCAGACAGGTTACTGCATTTCTTTGAACATTCATATTACTGATTCAAGCTGGTAACCACTTCACAGGATAAAGGTTGTTGCCTTTATGGATTTTTCCTCTAATCAGACATGGATTCCCTCCCAGAAAAGTTCTAGCTGGTGACACCCTAAAATTCTGCCATGCTTCTCTTGGAAATTGCAAAGCTTCAGAATAATTCAGCAAACAAAGAGTGCTTTATATCTGTATGGTACAACCCCTTTATACTATTTCTGTTGTTTACTCTCAGTCCAATGATGGGCAGGACAGGAGTATTAGCTATATTTTACAGCTGAAATAACTGCGATTCCGGGGGGTTAAACAACTTGCCCAAGTCTTTATAATTAAGTAAAAAGGTGAACTAATAGAATCTGGTGTACCTAAAAGTCTGGTCCAATGCTATTTCCACTAAAACACAAACAAAACATCAATACCCTAAGTAAATTCAGACCTAAAGAAAAGTAAGCCCCTGGGTATTTGTTTGCATGTACAGAAAAATACTTTAGATCTACCCTTTTCCTATAAATCACCAAAGATCTATGGAAATACCTTATTCAAACCAACTAAATATCGAAAGGAATCTTGCTGGAAGAATCTATTTCAAGACTTAGCAAAATGAGATTACCTCAACAGTGAACTACGCTGGGGTTTAAGCCAATTTCCTGATCTCTAGTCAATTTCTAAGAATACAAACAGCATGGGAGTCCTTAGGAAAGCAAACCAGCTCATTGTGAGCACGTATTTCCTGGGCGTGGCAAGGCCAGGAACCCCTTTGCCCATGGCTTTCTGAATTCTTCCAGTAGCTTAAAACCAGTCCAATTACCAAGGTGAACAGAAAATTTGGTGTGCGATGTGTTTTGAAGAGCCCTGGGATGATTTCATCAAAAAAACAAAAAAACAAAAAAAACAACAACATCTCTTTTTTGACACCTAAGACTTAACACTAGCGAAACACCTCCTAATGTCTGTGGAAAGATACCTCTTAAAATATGCCAAGGCCTCTGAAGATATTATTCCTCTAAAACTTGGTATAGATTAGTTTACATGGGAAGTTGTTGCTCTTTCTAACAATTAAAAACACACAACAACAAAAACCAGAACACATGCATCTTAGAATCTGGGAAGGGACACTAAGGGGAGGAGAAAATGGAGGGAGATGACATGAAAAGAAACTCACCAAGTTTGCCTGATCTCCCCAGAGACCGAGCCTTGGCTGCACAGATTTTGTGCAAGGCCTAAGGTGAGATGAGATTTAGAGAGTAGCTTCATGGAGAATTCACAAAGCTATCTGCTCACCAAAATATCAGACCTTGAACTACTCGCAACCACAAGGATGACACAGACGTATAGGCATTGAGTCCAGCACCACTCTCACAGGCTCTCAGAGATCTGTTTATGTAGCAGATATCTTACTGAGAGCCTAGCATGTACCATAATGTGCAATGATTACAGCATAGTGAGGAGTAAAACAGAAAACAATTCCTGTCCTCACAGACAGAGCCCTCACTGTATATGACTGCCTGGTGGTTGTCTTGTGTTCTCATCCTGTCCACCTGCTCATCACTGTGAACTTCTGGCACCCTCCTAGCTCATACTAGAGATTTCATAAATCTGTGCCTACTTAAATAAATGAGTGCCCAAGAATATGGCAGAAGTTTCCCTGGTTCAGGCTAATCCTTTGCAGATACTAGTGAGTTATTCTGCCTTCTGGGTTGAAAAGAACCAAGCTATTTTCTCCTTTTAATTCATCACTTCACCATTATTAGTTCTTTTGGCCTCAAAAACTTTCTGTTAAATAAGGTAAGAATGCACTAGTTGGCTTTATAAGTTCCTAGAGGGCAGGAGTCTTCACTCAGCTTCTCAAATCACTACATTTAAGGCATTTCTACGGCCTCCAGAAGAGCAGAGTTGCCTCCCTACCTAGGATTGTGAGCTGCCTGACCACACAATGCCTTTTCTTGGTCTTCCTGTCCTGAGCAAAGCAGACGTAGTCTCCTTGGTCCTGCAAGGATGCGTTCTGGAACTCCATGATCAAAATGTCATTTGTGCTATTAGAGAACATGGTGGCATTCATTTTCCAACGGGCGTCCAAGTGCTTGCAAACAGGTGTGGGTAGGGCCTGTGGGCCAAGTTTGTACCAGGTGAGGTTCTCAAATGTGCTTCTGTCTGTGCTGCACCACAGAGACACGCTCTCCTGCTCGGTTGGCTGGGTATCAGGCTGCAGAGTGATTACAGGACCCTCTGAAATGTAAAACCCATGGTTAGAAGATAATGATTCAATGGGGAGTCCCCTTACGCAGTTCCTATTGCCTTCAGACTTGCTATCAAGAGAAGTGAAGCTCTAGCAATGCCACACAACATAATATAAGGAGACAGCCAAAATGGACCATTCAGGTCCAAAATAATATTATTTTATAGAAATATGTTATTTGGAAATGTAAATACCTTTTTACAAATATTTATCAAATACCAACTACAGCTTGGCCATAAAATTAAGATGAAGAGACAAAATCAGCAGCATGTAGAGGCCACTGTTCCTATGTCATTACAATGGCCTCCAGAAAACCCAACCTTGTCAACACGTCAGCAGCAACCCCACTAGCATTGGTTGAACCCCAATAAGCCGAGCACTGTGCTAGACTCTGATGATGGAGACATAAATACGATGCAGGACTTGTGATTATGAGCCTGTGTGAAACCATGATCTCTCCAGTGACGTCGGATATACCTACTTCACAGGAGCCCAGGAGCACCTGAGCAGTTTCAATTTATAAACCAAAGCATCAATTATCAGTCCAAGTCCTCTTCCTAAACACCATGCCTCTCCCAGGAATAGCAAGCGCTACAGAATAAGGGACAGCTTAGCACCCACTTGGCCAGAGATCTAGCCCACCCCTTGGAGAGCAGCACTTACTGGTCACGTGAAAGGAGATGACCCTCTCTCCTTTGCCAGCTTTGTTGACCGCTTCACATTTGTACAAAGCTGACACATTTGCCGACTGGATGACAAGGGTACTTACAGTCTGTGAAAAAAAACAAATCCCAGGCCATAAACAATGGAAGCTCTGTTTATGCACATGTATTCAGACTGAAAAATGAAGCCACCCCATAACCACTGAGACCTGCCTACTGCATTCATTCTACTACACTGACCACTCGCAAATGCATGCAAGCTTAGCTCACACTGTGCACAAAATGGGCATTGGGAACCTTGTGCTTTAATATACATATTTTCTCATTTTCATACTTGTAAAACCAGAATCACCTTATAACAGATGCTTAGATTTAATGGCATTTGTGTTTTATCTTACTCTAAGCTATGAATAAGTCAGTAGTGCTTCTAAAAGCCAATGGTGTTTCCAAACTGATTTAATATGCTAGTGTTTTATCATTTGATTTATTTGATTATAATTCTCCAATATCCTCACATATTATTATACCCTGCTTCCATGCCAGCCTTCCATAAAAGAAAGGGAGAGAGGGAGGGAGGGAGAGAGGGAGGGAGGGATTTGCAAATTAAAGAACGTCAAACTCACCTTGTTTTTTCCTTCAATTTGGGCAAACTGGTTTTTGTTTACTTCAATTTTATTTCCTCCCTGGAAATCCTCCACGTTTCTCCACTCTTTACAGGTGTATGGATTCGTCATTAAGGCAGCTTGACTGTAAGAGAGATAGCAGATCATATAATGATAAAATTTTTCTTTAATGCACGTCAATAGTAAGGAAAGGAGTCAGACTTGGGTTATTATGTTCTTAGAAATAACTTCCAATGTAGCCTGCCTGGTTACAAGGCTTGGTGCCGATTAAAAATAGGCCTCAGCCATGAGGGAAGAGGTTCCAGGTAAATCCATTCAGGATACAGGAGGGAAGCAGCTATTCTGGGAACAAACCTCCATTCATAAATTGGATCGACAAGACAATTCAAGTTAATTTAGTTCAAAGGAAACTAAGAAACCACTGGGCTTCTCAGAGTAATCTCTGTGGGACTATGGCCTTTGTGTAGGAAATGGTCAGCATCTGAGGCAGAATCTAGTAGTGGCCATCTCAAAAACAACAACAGGAAGTGAACTGCTGAGGGTGGTGTAGGTGGCTGTTGTGGTGGGGTTTTTTTGTGTTTTTTTTTTTTCTCCTAAGGATGTCTGGACTTGTGTTAGAACCTGATAAGCTGGGCCTGAGCCTCTGGGGCCGGCTGCAGCGAGGTCTCATGCTCCCTGACTCTAACAGCACTTCCTTGAGATGAACCTTCTCCCAGATAAGGAGAGACGTGGTATTCACCGGTTAATTGGAATAAGGAGAAAAACCAAAGACTTGCAATTAGCAAAGGGAGCCAAGAACCTGCCTCTGGAGAGTTGTCCAGCAGAACTGACCTGTGGAGAAACAGCTAGCTAATCCCCAGGCAGGCTACCCACAGCAAGACTGCTAAAACCCAAGACAGAGGAAGATGGATGGAGACTAAGAGCACCACCAGAGGGACGGATGGCTTTCTTATTAGAGACAGCCTTGGGCTGGAGTCTGTGGGAGCTGGGCTATAAGAAATGCCAGAGGGCGGGAAGAAAGAGGGCGGGCGTGGCTCTACCCACCTGGGGTTGAAGGTGCAGTCCTTCTCCAGCTGCCAGTACCAGAGGATGTGACTCGGGGGAGGAACTGCATAGACGGTGCAAGTCAGCGTTTGGGTAGTGCCATATTTGTAAGAATCCATGGGGGAGATCAAAGATTTCTCACCAATCTGGGGTGGGACTGGAGATAAGAAAAACCACTTTTGAATTCTCAATGGGCATTAGGGTATGAGAAGTCCACGCTTTCGGCAACAAAAGTATACATTTTTTTCAAAGCAGGTGATTTTGCCCCCATTTCGTTTTTCAAAGAATATCTAGATTTGGGCACCGGAGACATGAATTCTAGTGATAGTACTACAACTACTACTCCTGTTACCAATAATAATAATAATACTTCTTTTTCATATTGAGTTTATATAATAGGGTAAATGCTAGAGCAAGTCATATGTTAAGCGACTTCATGAATTAATGAGACGGGATTATCCACTGTCCATTTTTACATCTTTTTTTTTTTTCTTTTCTTATTTATTTCCTTCTCTCTTACTTATCAGCTTTCCAACTTCTCTCCACTCCCCAATCTCCTACTCCCATGTAGCTTCTAAGGAACTTTCTGGGAACTGTAACCTCCCTAAAGCTGACATCCCTGCAAAGAAATAGAGCCAACCTCAACAGACACACGGGGAGGTGTCAGGATATATGGGGAAGCACCTTACTGCCATGGGAGAAGATCCTGAAGTGTTAATATGCCCGCCAGTAGGGAGAACTAAGATTCTAAGTCTCTCCCCTCAAAGAATGGCAATATATATTTGCATATTAAAGGCCCTGAGAAGTCCTGCAATAAAGTTTTATATCAGCTTAGCATCTCCCACCCTTACTTTACCATGACACCCCTTTCCCCCCAACACAGAGCATTTATTTACATATTTCAGTTTGTAAAAACAAAGTTCAAACCATCCTTAAATAAAACACTTTATATCTTCCCTTTCTAGCCTCAGAGTCAGATCCTGGACTCTTGTTTTTAAAGATTTTGAAAAGCTCCCACCAGGCATCACCGGAACATCAACTTCAATGTCAAACTGAATGCTTCCCACAAAACTCAGGAAGAGTCTTACACGTTGGCAATGTCAGGTGCACAGTTCCATGAGACAGGTGCAAAAGTGATGCAGCTTAGGTCTGTCAACTGTCCCCGCAGGCATTTTCAGCCTTTAGCCATTGAGGATACCATCTACTTTCTCCTTACATCTGACCACCACGCCGTTCATTTGCAAACATGTCCAGAGCACACTCTCCTATACCTCATTTCAATGCAGTATACTGCTCTGGACTATTTTTATACAGAGGAGCCCCCTCATGATGTGCGTGAAGCAGCAGGTGACAAAGGACTAGGAAAACCTAACCGTACACTTCATAATAAATTCTGGGCGGAAAAGGAAAGCTGGACGGACTCACCATTCACAACCAGAGACACCATGTGGCTCTGTTTCTCCTTTGAAATGGGATTGGTAAGGATAACCGTGTAATTTCCTGTGTCCTTTTCACTCACTTCCATAATCGTCAATACATGCCCCACTTTAATTGTGTGATTGGACTCAATGGGTCTTCCATTTTTAAACCTATTTGCGGGGGAGGGGAGGGATAAACAGGGTTATACAATCTCAGATTTACTTTCACGTGGAACAATGCTTTGTGTTTATTTCCAAGCGTTACCATTTTATTTCTGGCGGCGGGTAACCAAGGTACTTCACAGGGATTCGGACCCGGTCTCCCACCGAGACTTCCACCAGAGACTCCATGCCACTACCAAAAGCGACAAAAGGTTTTTCTGAAAGAAAGAGAATTATTCTCACAAATGTCAACTTATTGTAAGAGGTCGTTTGGTTTATTGTTTCATTTCAAGTGAAGGCCCCGGGCGTCTAAGTTCAGAGACCGCCCATACTATCCCGCTGTAGTCACATCCCAGCCCCGCCCACACTTCCAAGTTCTGCCTTTGATTTTCTCTCCCCAAATGTACTCCGCAAGCCTACCAATTGCTCAAATCTCAATTCAAGCAATGTTTCCTCTGAAGCTTTCTCTAAGTTCCCCAAACACCTGAGTGTTCCTTCTTCTCTATGCCCATCACACTGTATACATACCCCACCCCATGCCCCAGGACTGTCCTCAGACCTCTTCTCTTTATCAATACCTTCCTTTAGTCTCTGGCATAAAGTGCCATTTACATCCTCCTAAATGTTTGTCTCTTGCCCTGACTTTTCTGGGTTTATACATCTAGTATACTAGAGGCCCAGAGCAGGAAATTTGTGCAAGGGGGGGAGGGAGGTGTCCATCAGCCCAGCTTACACCCTCTCTAATATGGGACCCCTCGAGGGATGTCCAACTGCTCTTTAAAAAGATAATAATCCTATAAAAATGGGCAGTCAGACATCCCTCCACAATTCAGGACTGCTGGCTCCCAACAGCTTACCTGCCTGCCTGCTTGATTGCCCCTAACAGCTTCTGCCTGCCAGCCTGATCAATGTCTAACTGCCCCCCCTGCCAGCCTGATTGCCCCTAACTTCCTCTCCTGCAGGCCTGTTTGCCCCCAACTACCCTCCCCTGCTGGCAAGGTCACCCCTAACTGCCATCCCTTGCCAGTCTGGTTGCCCCTACCTGCTGTCCCTTACCAGCCTGGTCACCCCTAACTGTCATCCCCTGCAGGCCTGGTTGCCTCCAACTGCTCTCCCCTATCGGCCTGGTTGCCCCCAACTGCCCTCCCGTGCAGGCCTGGTTCCCCCCAACTGCCTTCCCCTACAGGTCTGGTCCCCCCCCTAAATGCCCTTCCCCCAACTGCCCTCGCCTGCAGGCCTGGGTTCCCCCTCAACTGTCTTCACCTACAGGCCTGCCCCCCTCAACTGTCCTCCCCTGCAGGCCTGGTCTCTCCCAACTGCCCTCCTCTGCAGGCCTGGTCCCCCCCAACTGCCCTCCCCTGTAGGCCTACCCCTCCCAACTGCCCTCCCCTGCAGATCTGGTCCCTCCCAACTTCCTTCCCCTGCAGGCCTGGTTGTTCCCAACTGTCATCCCTTGAAGGCCTGATCCCCCCAACTTCCCTTCCCTGCTGGCCATTTTGTGGCAGCCATCTTGTGTCCACATGGGGGCGGCCATCTTTGACCACATTGGGACAGCCATATCCTATCTAATAAAAGAATAATATGCAAATTGACTGTTGGAGTGACAGTCAATTTGCATATTACTCTTTTATTAGATAGGATATCTCCTTTTGGATGTTTAATGAGCATCTTCAAATGAACACACCCAATCCTGTTTCTCCTAATCTTACTTCTCTATCAATGTTCCCTATTTCAGGAAGTAAAAATCACCATTCACTCAGTTGTTCATGATAAAAACTTTAAGGTCAGCTTCCATTCTTTTTCTCTTGTGCCCCCATAGCCAAAGAATTAATAGGCAGATCCTGTTGGCTCTAACTTCAAAAATATACCCAAAATCAGATCACTTCTCACTACTTTGACCTCTGCCACTTTTGTTTAAGCCACTTACCATCTGTTACTGGATTTTTGTGATTAGCCTCCTAACTGGACTCCCTACTTCTACCCTTGCTTCCTTAAAGTATTCCATGAAAAAAAAAAAAAGATAATAATCCTATAAAAACATAAGCCAGAACATGTCTTTCTCCCAGCTTAAAACCCTGCTATGCATTCCCATATTATAAAACCCCAAATCCTTACCAAGACTCATAATTTGGGTGCCACATAAATTATCATCTAAACTGAGGCATTTATGTGAGTGAAAGAGAAATTAAGTTATTTGCTCAAAGCCCCACAGAAAGTAATTCAATCCAGATTTTTTCCAACTGCAAAGCCCATGCTTACTCAAGTGGGACTCTCAGCCTTGCAATAAAACAAAAATCTAAGAACTATCTTAGATAAAAACATTCTGCATGTTATAGTAATAATAGCACTACCAATACCTACAACAAGTACTATTTAGTGAGCTTTAATGATCTATTGGCTCATCTCATCATTAAAGTTGGGATTTTGAATCCAAGCTATGCTCTTGGCCTCTAGGTCATGAGGCCTCCTTAGCAAGAGTTCAGAAATCTATAATAATAAAAGCATCATATGCTAATTAGACCGACAAAGCTGGGGCTGCGAGGGTGCTGAGTGCCAGAGGGAAGCTGGTGCCAGCAGCCGGGGAAAGGAAGGACTATTCTTGCACAAATTTTGTGCATCAGGCCTCTATTTTGATCTCTTCTGAATGGCTGAACTGAATCTATTTAAATTATGTCACATTCCAAAGCACAGCACAATTCCAAAAAAGATCTCAGCTTACCATGGACCCTGACGAATGTGCTGTTCCTCTTGGTCATCAGCCCACTGGAAGCCTCGCAGGTGTACCACCCTTGGTCACTCCGGGTTACACTATCGATAGTCAAGATGCTCAAGAATTTCTTCATGTCAATCCCAGACTGGGTGTTTGGGTCCCCCCGGTTCACAAGTTTCTTATGCTGATGCTGAAAAACAGTTTACGAAGTCCAGGATAATAGAACCCAGAAGATCCTAGATACCCAGAACAAGTCTTGGCTCTTGGTGAATACTACTTAATGTTGATAATAGAGTTTTCAGAGCTTTTAACATATGTAGACAACAAATATATTTGGTTTCGGGAGAAATAAATGAAACCAAGTGAAACAGGATTTTTAAAACGTGGCATAGTGGGAATGAGATGAGTATGAACTGCAGGAACTGGCAAATGGGATCACTGTTTCAGGAGAAATGTGTCTTGTGCCACCTCTTGAAGAGAGAAATTCTCTTAAAGGGAAAATAGATCAAAGACTTTGCAGAACAGAGAAATCAAACAACCTGTGAAGATGGAATCACTCAGAGAAAACTAATCTTCAGAGCCTGGTTGTAGCTTTAGAGTAGGACAGAGAATTCTTGGCATTGCATCTTCTTTTCCACTAATGTTGTCTGTTCTGCAATTCCCTTAAAGTGTGTGTGTGTGTGTGTGTGTGTGTGTGTGTGTGTGTGAAGATATTTACATTTTATCTGGCTAGCGAGGTCCCTATCTCTCTCAAGCAAACACTATTGGGGCTGATTAGCAAAGTATTTAGAGAGCTGGTTTTAAATGGTTAGTGTTACCTTCAAAGAAGGGTATTCCCAGTTGAAGTCAATCCCCACATTTAGTTCAGTCCTTGCCGTACAATTTAAAACAAGCTTCTCTCCAACAGACAGTTCGACTTTGTGAGCAGGGCTCAGAACGACATCATAAATCTTTGACCCTGCAGCAAGTAAATTGAAAAAACAGAGAGTGAGAGGGAAAACAAATCTATGAGTTGGCACAAGCTTTCCCCCAAATGATGCAACATTAACATGGGTCACATCATCTTTCCCTGAGGGTTTCACCAATTTTGGGGAGCTCTCAGACAAATGGCCTGTAGAGATTTACAAAGCAAACCCTCGGGGACCTCAAAGATGTTGGAGCCCAGTGGAGAGAGAAGTAGTAAAATCTCTGAGTAGTCAACAGCCAATGGGGCCAGCTTTAGTAAATTGCTGAACTTTCCATAAAATAGGTATAATTAAAACAATCGATGCCAAGCAATGCTCTGAACATTAAATTTTCCATAAAATATGCTTCAGTTAATAGTATTCTTTTTCATCCTTGGTCTTGGCAAGAAAAGAGAAAACCTTGATTGCACATGGGTTTATTTGATTTTTTTTTTTTTAAGAGTAGATATAATGAGTTGCCCAATGCTGTGTCTTGGGTTAATATATTTTTCAAATCCCTGTCTTTCACTCTATACCTAAACCTCCAAGATCCTAATGCAGGGAGCCAATCTTTATGTGTGATAATAATGATATTGAAAGGAACTGTTCTCTTACCTACAATCACAACTATGTACATAATAGACTGGTAAGTTTCATCATTAATTTTTGCTTCACAGAAGACCATGCCTGCATAGAAGATCATGTAGCTGGGAATAGTAAAGCCTTTCTTGCTGTCCCAGGAAATTCTGTTACCATCAGGAAAAAACCTCTTTTCTGGATATCTCTGGGTAGAAACAGAAATATCAAATATTTAATCAAGTGCTATCCAAAAGCAAAATCATGTAAAATGATGACTAAAAAATTGACATTTTAAGGATACAAATTGGTTTTCTTTATTGTCATTTTGACCCTTCCTATAAGATCTTTAAATATCATTCTTGATGTTATATTATAAACAAGCTACCCATCTTAGTAGTTTAAAATTAAGACAGCAGAAGAGAAGACTGAAGATGTAACTTACTGCACAAAGTGACACATTGAGGTCTGAAACGGACCCAAGACATGGAATCACCACACTTTTGTTTTTGTTCTCCAGGATGTACACAACTCCATGCTGGTCGCTAACAGAAGCAATAAATGGAGACCTGTAATCTAAAAAAAAATTTCTGTTTACTGAGTGGAATTTACTGGAAAAGTTGGTTATCTTTCAGGTTCTGAGAAGTGAAAGGTTGGAATTGATATTTCACACTAGGGAAAGGAATCCACAGGTCAATCTGCTGGTACATATCTGGCTCCAAGGGTATCCTGCAAGAAGGGTGTGTGTGTGTGTGTGTGTGTGTATGTGTGTGTGTATGAGAGAGAGATTTTGTGTGAAAAATCTGAAAGAAAAATCACAGAATGGAATTGACTCCTTCACAAGGATCATCAATAAGTATAATATATTTTACAGGTTCCACATTTAAGTAGAATGATCATTATATTTTTTTTCAAAAGGAATGAGTATACTTTATTTTCATATGCATTTTCATATACACATATCCATTTTTCATATATATTACATTTTTCATATATAAAATTTAAAGTAAATTTAAACTTTTATTGATGATAAAAAAAATTCATGCATTCTTTCTTTGGGTGAATAATGTAAATGCCATGAAAATAAATTAATAAGGCAAAGGCCCCAAAGGAACTTTAAAATAAGCAAGAAATAACTAACCTTTTTGAATGGTTTTATATGGGTATTTTAAAATTGTGAAGACTCAGTGTGAGATTCCTTATAAAATTATGTTTAATAGTCATTGTGTCTAGTTTAATATTCTGAGGTCATTAATATATCTTCAATGACAAAAACTTGAAAAGCCACCATGGCAAAGAGTGAGAAGAAAACTAGAGATATTTTAATGCCGTTCGAACATCGTTCATACAATGTTCATACGCTGGTGGGAAACTCCTCCATTCCCCAGAGATAGAGTTAATGTGGAGTGAAGTCATGCCTGAATCCTCACAAAGATAATCGTTCTAGTTGCCATGCCCCACACACCTGACTTAGCATGCTCAGAGCTCTTCAAAATGGTTGGTCCAAGGGAAGGAAGAGTTCATTAAACCAAAGGGGACAAAGGCAACTAATTCTCTCAACAGCAGAAATCTGATTTCCTTCCCAGCTGGAAAGCACAGAAAGCCAGCCAATCCAGCCCACCACATGCCATAGCCATTATCTTGCCAAGCCAGGGCCCACTTCCTGGCTCCATCCATTGCTGGAGAGAATGGGGTCAGAAGACTAGGGAAGCAAGGTGGAGACCAGTGGGGACATTAAAGGGCTGTCTGGTATTTTCTTTCCCATTGTTAAGTTTCATGACCACATTCTGGAACAGCTTACCTCTTCAACAGGAAGCCGAATTTGATGGTATACAAAAGATGAGCAATATACAAATAAACAGTGCTGGGACTTGCTACTTCTTAATATTGCCTACCACTCGTCCATATGGTAGGAATTGTTATAGAGCTTGCTTACAGAAGCCTTTGGAAACTAAATTAACCCCTTGACGTAAGACTAAAGCTATTCGGTAAATCAATTCTATTTCAGTATCCCATGAAAAAGGAAATAAACAAAAGAAACCCAAACAACCACCCATCCTCTCAAAATAAAATATTTACTGAAACTCATGAAATGAGTTTTCACATGTCTCCAGGTTTCCTGACTCCAGGGAGAAGGAAATAAGGAGATATTATGGGAGAGGTTCATCTTGTAGTCTATTTCCAGACAGGCTGAAAGCAGGAAATCCTCGCAATCTTCTGAGAAAGCCTGGTCTCCCAAGACTGCTGGATCAAAAGGAGCCAGAAATTCTCAGAGATCTGAGCTTTGTCTCTTTCACATTCTGCAGAGAGGAGGCACAGAATTCCACCTTGGGTCATGCTTAACCTGGACAAAAAAATAATACTCAAATACCATACCATCCAGGAGCGACGTGTTATTTTGATATGTTCTCCGCTTTTCCATTGCACTGACTAAACTGCTTTATCAAAAGGCAAGTGGATATATTCCAAACATGTTTTTCAAGCTGACAAAATTCTCATGCTATAAAAGATACTTCTGGAAAAAAAGTCGAAGCCATCTACCTCAAATCCTCTGGGATTTAAGGGATATATTGTACAAGAGTATAAATAAAATGTCTACAAAAGTCATCTACACTGAAAAAAAAATTAGTACATCCAAGCAAAATATTATACAATATTTATATTCTTCCAAATTATATGATAAGTATCTCATTAGTTAAGTCAGGTTTTCACAGGGCAATTCAGGTAGTAGAAGCATTTTGAAATACAAAGAAAGAATTCATATTATAAATACTGGATACATGTAACATTGTATTTTAGCCTGCATGGGTGTTAACTGACCTCAGTGGTGTCAATCTAGAATGATGTAGCATATCATCCACCATCTCAGACCACACAAAGGAGAGAAACACTGTCCTCAAAGGCCCTTTGAGGCGGCATCTCCGTTTGCACCAAAGTATGAGAGTAATTCACAATAAAAGTTTAAGAGGGAAAAGTTCCTGTGAACAAAAGAGCACCAGATTCTTTGGCTGTTTCCCTGTGCATTCTTGGGGAAATCTCTTACTGCGGTAGATAACCTATCTCTCCACAGAAACCGTTCCATAATTCACACTGAATCTTCCTTTTCAAGTATTTTCTGGGTGTGTGTTTTCCTCAAACATCAGAAGGCTTTGTATAAATCCCCATAGCCAATTGTGAACACAGATTTCCCTTAGAAACAAAGATCAGAACGAAACTAATTGGCGAAAGAGATGTAACAGAGCCCAAGCTCCAGAACAAATCAATGAGTCCTGCGCTCAGAGGAAGCCTTGAGAGGGAAGAATTTGTATATTCCTGTTGGCCAGGAGCCTGTAGGGCGAGCCTTTTGTTGTACTCTGATTCTTTGCTGAGCCTATTGTGTTTTATAGCTGGCAAATGAACGTGGGAAATGAATTCCTTTTAACCACATACCTTGAACGTAGACATAAACACTCGAGGCCACACCAGTGTCCTGGTAGAAGCACTTGTAGTCTCCAGTGTCATTTCCGATCACTTTGGGGATTGTGAGCATCTTACAGAAAAAGCCGTCACTGCAGTCAGTCACCTCCACTCTTTTCTCAGAGCTGCTCTGATTGTTGGGCCAGAGCCAGTCCAAGTCCCTCTGTCCCCTGAAAAATTAATTCCAGGAAAGTATTAAGATGAACCGCCACATGATGAGGCTGTTTCTAAATAAAGACAAACCAATAGAAGTTTCGGTTCTCAAACTTACATAGGCTTCTCAACAGAGTCACACAGACTTCTACCGACAAAGACAGGTTATTTCAACAAATGACAAAAAAAAGCCATGGACTCAGCTTCAGAAATCACTTATAGGGATTCCTGGTTTTTTAGAAATTAATTTACACATTCATTCATTCAATAAATATTTATCGTGTGTGTGCTATGCGATCAACTGGAGATACAGCCGTGAAAAAATCAGAGAAAAATCAATGCAATTATGGAATCTCAGTCTTGTTGGAGGAGACAGGCAATAAAAAAGTAAATAAACCTCAATGTAGTAGACATTTTTAAAAAGTTAAAATGTATTCTTTACACAGTGGTGATAAGTACTATGAACAAAATAATAGATGACACAAAGAAAAGAGTGAAGACTTCTGGAGGGAGGAGTGTTGATGAAGTGGGCTATATGAATATCAGAAGGAACAGTATTCTAGGCAGAGAGCACAAATGGAAAGGCCTTGGAGTAGGTACATATCTGAAGTGTGAAAGGAATAACAAGGAAGCCAGAGTGGCCAGAGAAGGGTGAGCAAGCAGGAGAATAACAAGTGAGGTTATGGAGGAATCAACTGTCTAAGAGCCTCACAGGACCTTTAAGGAGTACATTACGACTTAGACTAATTTTTTAAAAACATGTTTTTATTGATGTCAGAGAAAGGAAGGGAGAGGGAGAAGGAGCAAGAAACATCAATGATGAGAGAGAATCATTGATCAGCTGCCTCCTGCACGCTCCCTAAAGGAGATGGAGTCCAAAACCCGGGCATGTGCCCTGACCAGGAGTCAAACTGTGACCTCCTTCCTGGCTCATAGGTCAACACTCAACCACTGAAACACAGCAGCAGGGAAAAACATAGATGACTTGTATCACAGCATTTTTCCACAGAGTTCCAAGGAGGAGAGTCAATGTCAAGAAGATGGTTACACACTGATCCTTGTTTCAAAGAACTTGAAATTTCATGAAGTTGCAGTTACCTTCATGGAACTTCATAGCTTTCTCAGAACATAAGAAATGTTTATTCGGAGTTTTTAAAAGGAGTATGAAATTTTTGAGGATTTTAAGTATTCTTTGTTGCTGAGGGTAAGAGGCAAATCTAGTGAGAAATGTGTATGGAAATAGCAAAGCTAGAGAAACAGCAGCCGTTAGTATAATTTCCCCCCCAGGTATCAGCGACCTACCCTTGATAACGGACTAGGTATCCTTTACACTCTGCAGTTTAAAATAGATCTGTGTCACTGTGCTGAACACTGGGCAATCGGCAATCATAAACAGTAGCAATAAGCTGCCCAAAGTTGTTGGTGGACCGACAGCACTCTTCCCAGAGGGCAACATTGCTGCTACCCGTCATTCTGCCAAAACACACTGGTCTTGACAAGCATCTGCATAATCACTACACTGAACCCCAGGGTCTTCTCCTTCTCCTCCTGGGTGAGTGGCTGAAAGGCAAAAATTAAAGGCCCCTCTTCTTGTTATAGAGGCCTGTCTTCCTAGTTAACAAAAACCAGTATTAGCACGGCTTCTTGCTAGCAAGTGAGAAGAGAGGCATTCCAGAATATTGAGCCAGAGTATGAAGTTCGTTATCTATGCAGAGCAGGCATTCAGTAATATTAACAGCTGAATATTAAATCGTAAATACCGTCAGAATTTTATCATGGCATAAAATTCTTAAAAAGAGCCAAACAGATGCCCAAGAGCCACTCACAAGCTGTGTTTATAAATATGGCCCAAAACTTCTTCCACCCTATCCCTTTAAGGGTATGACGTCAACTTCATTTATTCACTCAATATTTATTGAATGTCTACTATATAATGCCTGGTTCTACACTGGTTATTGGTGGGAAATGTGTTGGCAGAGGGCAATAGAAAAAAGAATGCAAGCAAAATCATGCAGAATTTTTGGGAGAAAACCTTTCTCACTTTTTTCATTATTATATCATTTCTTAAAAACCTCACTACTTATAAACAATTACTATACATCTCTGACAACTATGCTGTATGGAAATTATTTTTTGCTCAATAATGAATTATTTAATACAGGAAATACGTAACTACATATCTAAAGTCAATCCTTACCTGCAGGTAATCTGAAGAGTTGTATTAGCCATAATTGTAAGGATGTCTTTTTGTACGCTGAGTCTAGGTGGGTCACTTGAAACACCAGGCAAACCTAGAAACAAATTAAATTAATGAATGCAGTTGCCACTGAGTCAATCCCAATAGGAAACACCTTCCATAAACAATGCATACTTCCATAACTTTAAAAGACCTCTTCAGCAATTCATTAAACTGTGAATTTACTTTTCACCATTCCCAGTAAAAGTTCACAAGCTGTGTCATAACAGGAAGAATGGGCAGATGGTCATAAACCAACACAACAGTTCTGCAATTCATGGAGCTAGGGTGGAGTTCCTGTTTTCCTGCATTGCCAACTTCAAGGTCTTACAAAAGGATATGGGGCATTGAAACCCAATGAACCTTCATCTGATGATCTCACTCCCTGAGGAAAAGACCCACTGACATTTCTTGTAAAACATAGGATGCACACATTTGACTAAATTGCTGATTAACAAATACTACTTAGAAAGATTTCTATATAGTTCATCTGTACCCTGAAGGGAGTAGGGATATCCATGACCTTGTCTCATTTTCCTTTATCAGTTTTCTGATAACTGACCTGCCAAAGTTGAAAGACTACATTAAAACCAGTTGAGAGAAACTGAGGAAAATGTCGCATAATATAATATACCTATTAATATATTTTTCCTCAGAGAACAGGACTAGAAAAGGTGTAATGCTAATGAATTGCAATTGGGGAATCGCAACTTAACAACCAAGGCTCTGAGTTCCTCCTGAAACCGAGTTTGGAACACAAGCAATCTGACTTTACTTAAAAATACCATAGGATATATCCCTCACCCTGGGTTAGGTTACTCCCCAGCAAAAAAACTGAGTTCTCTGTCAACCAAATGCAAACAGCTATCAGGTTTTGAAAGAGCATCAGAAAACAACAATTAACCATGATGATATGGTCTTAACCAATATCCAGATCTTCAAAACACCCCCTTAACAAGAGATGAATGCTTGATAAGCACCCAAGCTTACTATGATTGTTAACTCACATCAACTAAGTACAAATGACCCTCTAGGCCTAAACTGGCACTGACCTCGTTGGGCAAATAAGGGGGTATTAGCAAATAAGAGAGAGTATGAGCAAACAGAGTATGAGCAAATATTCAGTGCAAATATCCAATGCATTGAATCTATGGATCCCAATGTGAATAGCTGCAGGCAAAATGAGCAACACATGTTCTCACACACTCACCCAAATGTGCAAAATGGGTTGCTGACATAACTACTAGATTTGTTGACAAGTAACATACTTAAAAAATAGTTTTAAAAAGCTTTAAAAACATGAAAATCAATTTATATCAGCAACAAGTCTTATAAACTAATTGGCACTGGTACCAACTTGTGTTTCAGGCAATGCTTCTTGGACTTTAGGTTGCGTTAGAATGACCCTGGACCTACAAATCTGCATTTTATTTTATCTTTAAAATATATTTTATTGAATTTTTACAGTGAGGAAGAGAGAGGGATAGAGAATTAGAAACATCGATAAGAGAGAATCATCGATCAGCTGCCTCTTACCCACCCCCTACTGGGGATGTGCCCACAACCAAGGTACATGCCCTTGACCTGAATAGAATCCGGGACCTTTCAGTCCGCAGGTTAACGCTCTATCCACTGAGCCAAACCGGTTTCGGCCAAATCTGCATTTTAACAAGCACACCAGGTAACTCCATCCTACAATACATGGTCTATGGGCCACTCTTGGACAACTGTTGGTTTTGGGTGTTCGGTTAATTAGCACAGCACTTTACAATATGAAAGACAAACAATAAAGCAACATGTTTAAAAGCAACAGAAAAGCCTTTTAATAATGGAGTCCCACTTTGTCTAAGAAAAGGAAAAGGAAAACAATTTATTTGGATAAATAAACACTAGGTTGAAAAACATATCAAAAACAGCAACTTAATTAATGTACACAATGATCCAAATGGGAAGGAACCCATTATTTAAGTGCATGCATGTGAGAGAGAAAAAAAAAAATGGTAGAGAAGACTAAGTTCTGCCGAGACCGGTTTGGCTCAATGGATAGAGCGTCGGCTTGGGGACTGAGAGGTCCCTGGTTTGATTCTGGTCAAGGGCATGTACCTTGGTTGCGGGCATATCCCTAGTGGGGGGTGTGCAGGAGGCAGCTGATAGATGACTCTCTCTCATCGATGTTTCTAACTCTCTATCTTTCTCTCTTCCTCTCTGTATAAAATCAATAAAATATATTAAAAAAATAGTAAATTCTTTAAAAAGAGAGAGAGAGAGAGAGAGAGAGAGAGAGAGAGAGAGAGAGAGACTAAGTTCTGCTCACCCACCACCGAAATGAGAGATTCTTTAAGATCTTCATTAATTATTGCAACAGGTTATCTCGCACTCTAGATGCACTTCCCTATGTTAAAAACACTTTTTAAAGTATTTTTCCTGGGAAGCCAACACAACACTATCCTTTCCCAGGGACACATCATCAACAACAAAAAGCATGCAACCAGGCTATCAGTAATGGTAACTTTCAACTCATATCTGCAGACTAGCACTCGATTTTCTTCTCTATTAAGCTCCATTCATTTTCATTGGAAGTTTGAGTTCTACTCTTCAGACAGTTCCAAAGAAATAACTATAAGAAGTACATATGCTTCTGCTCAATAAAAAGCCCTTCTATGTTCAAAATCCCATAACCAAAATTGATTAATTTGTGCACTGTTACCCTTCCAAAGACCGGAAGGAAAAACAACAGCGCCTCTGTCTCTAGAATCTGATGGCACCAATTATAGTCCAATCCAATTAAGTAAGTCACACACTCTGAAAGGGCAACCTCATCATTACAGTCAGGGCAGCCCGGTTACCAGTTGACTACTGCTACACTATGAAACACCCCAGGCTTAAAAGGAACTCACTTCTTTGTGAGACACAGAACAACCACATGTCCCAGACCTTCATTCTCTCCCAATAAAGGGGGAGAGGGAGGGCTTGTCATGGACAAATGGGTGTCCATGGTGGAGCTGGCGCTGGATGAACCAAATCATTTTTTTTTAATCAGTAACTGTAGACAGATGATCTTGTTACTTTATATCTTTTTTTAAAAGACCCGAGTCACATATATATATATATATATATATATATATATATATATATATATGGAATTTTTTTTCCTGAATTATTTTATATCCTCCCCCCTTCCCTTTCTCCACCCTGTCCCCTTTCTCACCCTCCAAAGAGTGCAAATCTGGAAATCAGCAAACGGTGGCTACAGAAAACAGATAGGGGCAACGGGTGGGGAGAAAAAGAAAGAAAAAAAAGGCAAGGGGATTTATTGCATCAAGAGTATATGTGTTCCTAATCTCGAAGGGGCTAAATATTTGGTGGCAGGAGAGGCGTGCTTCGTCCAGGTACCAAGTCCCCTGGGGTAAGTTTTCAGAACGTGAGCTTCTGACCATGCGCTTACCGCAAGGACCAAAGCGCTTTGAAAGATGTGGAATGGTTTTTCATAGGAAGGTCTGTTCCTTGGAGACACTTTGGGAAGCTGTCAAAGTCCCGAGTCCAAGCCCCAACTTTCCCCCTTCTCCCTTCTCTCTGCGAGGAAAACGGAGTCCTGCACCAAGACGGGGGGAAATGTCCCCCGCGCCCCTCTTCCAGCCTCCGGACCCCATCTCAAACAGTGAGTGTGTGAGTCCCAGCCCAAAGGGAAGAGCAGCCCCGGCCACCGCTGGACTCTCAGAGGCAGAGCTGAGCGCAGGGTGCTCCCTCCAAGGCTCCCTTCCCGGCGCCAGAACCAGGATGGTGCGGGCGGGGACCTCCTTCCACCGCCTTCCCCGCCCGCCTACGGGAGCATCTCCTGCCGGCCACCCCCATCCCCGCCTCCCGAGAGCCCGGCGGTGGCCCCGCCACGGCCCCTGTCCGAGACCAGAGTCCTGGGCAAGGACCCGGGCTCTGGAGACCACCAACTTGCTGGGGAATCTTGGGCCAGTCCCTTTCAACTCTTCAGCTCTGACATCCCAGGGAGGTCTGGCCCGGGGATCCTCTCCGCATCCCCATCTCCCCGCCCGCCCCCGGCCTCTCCGCCTCCTTCCTCCCGGGGAGCGGGCTCCTTACCCACAAAGGCAGCCCGGGTCTCCACGCAGAGCCACAGCGCGACGGCCAGCAGCGCCTTGCGCTCCATCCCGCACCCGGGTGCGGCGGGCCGTGCCCAGAGCCCAGAGCCGGGGCGCCGGTCCTGTCTCCCCGGCCCGCCCCGCAGACAAGCGGCGGAGGTGGGACCGCGCTGCAGCGCAGGACCGCGGGGTGCGCGGGGCGAGGAGGGCGCCCGGCTCCGGCCTCCGCTGCGGGACCGCCTGCGGGCGCTGGGAGCAGAGGGAGCAGAGGAGGTGCCGGCTGCAGGGCAACTCCGGACTTTGTAGAGGAAACCCAGCCACACACCGCCCGCTCGCCAGGGTCCCGGGACCTAGTGCCGGGGGAGAGCCGGTGCAGAAACTCTAGAGCGCGGGGCGGGGCGGGGCCGTGCGGGGCGGGGCCGGGGGCAGGGCTCTCCCCTACCTCCCCCCCACCCCCCTGTTGTCCGCCCCGCCCCTCAGCCCGGTACCCCGCCTGGATCCTGGGCTCCTAACGCCGTAACATCTCCAGATCTCTCACTTGGCCCGGAACCCCGCCTGGCCCGAGTCCCCCCGACGTCTCAGATGCAACAGCCCTGTTTCTGCCAGAAATAAAATGCAGCCGCTAACAGGTTCTGAGCCTCTGAAGGTTCATTCATTCGGTTGCTGGCCCTCCGAGATGCCCGGAGCAGTGCTGGGAGCTCAGCGAGGGACCCTGAGCCCCGAGGGTGCGCCCCCAAGTTTGGGAAGGTCTTACGTGACACGCGAGCCTCAGGGGCAGGAGTCAGGTTTGGGATCAGCTGCCGGTTAAAGCAACTGGGGAGAGACGGGCACTCAGCTGGAAAGCAGGATCGCCAACTGGCCAGGGCTCCAGGGATCGGAAACTGGCCTTGACTCCAGCCGGCATGGCGTGCTGCTTGGCCAGCACAGCTGTAGTTTAAAAATCGGAATCTGGAAGAGTCCCAATATGCCCTTCCCCAGTTCTCCAAAGTATCTGGTATGGTATTTTCTCTTCTACCTGGCAGCTTCGAGTGTTTTTAAGTTACCTGTCAAGCCCCCAAACGCATTTAAATTTGAGACGCAAGCCCGCCCCCCCTCCCCTCCATCTGTCTTTCACCAAAAACCTACCCCAGGCCTCCAGGGAGCTGGAGGTACCCAGAGCTCTGGCATACCCACCGCGGGAGTGAGGGTCCCCCCACCGGCCAGTGGGGCTCTCGGTGTTCCCCACAGGGGCCCCTAGCCTGACTCCTCTTGGGCCTTAGGCCAGGCCCCTTTACAGAGCACACCTTTCAGCCCAGGTACCCCTAGGCTGAGAGGACCGAGGCCCAACAACCTGCTTCCTGGAGAAGCAGTGAAGCGGAAGCTCTCAGACCCTGGGCACCCAGAACACTGCACCAAACCTCACAACTCTCTCCACATGTGTGGACTCTTTGTGGAGCCTGGGAGGAGAACTCTGATTCCTTTCTGGGCACATTTATTTCTTCTTTTCCCTCCACTTCTCCCCACAGGGAGGGCATGGCATCAGGTATCTCCTAACTTCATTCACTGGGGATCTTCCAGATTCCTGTCTCCTACTTCTCAGGTGCTTTTCAATGACAACTTAAAGGGCCATCCTTGAGGACGGTGAAGAGAAAAAATTAATTCTACATTTAGAAGTAATTCCTTCTGAAATGCAAACCCTTCCTCCTGAAATGCACCATTAATGTAAACTGCTGTTTTTGTTATAGTATTTTAAAGAGTTTTTTGTACTTACTCTTTTGCCAGGTTAACAATTGAAATACCTTTTTAAAAATATATTTTTATTGATTTCAGAGAAGGGAGAGAGAGATAGAAACATCAGTGATGAGAGGGAATCATTGATTGGCTATCTCCTGGAGGGCCCCAGGCATGTGACTTTGACTGGAATTGAACCCCGGACTCTTTAGTCCAAAGGCCAACATTCTATTCACTGAGCCAAATTGGCTAGTGCCGTGGTCGGCAAACTGTGGCTCCTGAGCCACATGCAGCCTTTTGGCTTCTTGAGTGTGGCTCTTCCACAAAATACCACGGCCTGGGCAAGTCTGTTAGAAAAAAGTTTAAAAAGTTCGGCTCTCAAAAGAAATTTCAATCATTGTACTGTTGATTTTTGGCTCTATTGACTAATGAGTTTGCCAACCACTAAGCTAGGGCAACGATTGAAATACTTTAACTCTGAAATATAATGCATGCATTTGGCTTAAAAATATTTTAATGTGAAATGGTTTAGAATGAAAAGCCCTTCCTTCGGCAGAGGTAAGCATTTCTGCCTTTCTTTTGTTTCCCAAGCAAACCCTATGCACGTGGGAGTATAGTTATATCATCCTCCTCCATCCAAAAAGAGTAGCCTGGGTATTAATGCTGTTTGAGTGTTGGCTTTTTCACTTTAAAATATAACTTGGAGATCATTCTATATCCACCCTTGGGGCTCCATCTTGTTCTTTTTAATAGTGGCATTGTGTCCCATCCTATACATGGACTAATATTGGACCAGGAGTTGTTTGTTAGGGGCAGGGGTATTCCTAAAGAAACTCCTCACTTCCTGCTAGTAAACTTAGCAAGGAAAACAGGATGGGCTCTGGCAAAGTTGGATAAGGGGGAGGAGATGAAACATGAGTTGCAGAAGGCGATTTTTTCCCATCTCTATCTCCAAACAGTTCTTCTCTCTCAGCCTTATTTACAATGCATGACACTTCCTTTTCCACATCTCACTTAAGAAGATAGTGTCTCCTCTGAATGCAAACCAGAACCTGCAGGCCCTGGTAATAGCCCCCTTTAGAAGTCTTGGGAGGAAATGATGCGCCTTTGATGGCCACAAGACCAGAATTTGGCAGGGTCTCAATGAAATCAGTCTACCACATTCCCTCCCGCACAGCACTCAGAAATGCCTTGCAAAAAAAGTATGCTATTTACTGTTTTTAAATGTCTATCCCAGGTGCAGCACCCTTCCATTATCGGGCACCACTGCAAAGGAGTGATCATATGAGTTAATTGGTCACTACAGGTACGACAACTGCCTATCAAAGTGCCCATAAATGGAATTCAGACTCATTTGTGGCGAAACAACAAAGAATGGTGCTAGGTTCACAGACTCTGGGGCCACACTGTCTGGGTTTGACTCTCAGATTTACCCCTTACTATGCATGTGGTCTTGAGCAACTTATTAGTTAAGTATCTTTTTTTTTCTTAATGATAATAGATAGTATCTTTTTGTAGGGTTTTGCAACAATTAAATGACATAAGGCACTTAGACTAGGACCTAACATCTGGTAAGCACAGATGCCCAGCACATATGAAGCACCCCATATACAGTAGGAAGTATTTTTCAAAAGTTAGTTAGGCATTATCTTACGGGGTCTCCATCATGCTGCCATGATCTAAACTGCAAAGAAGGCTCATTCATTCAATGGTCTTTGAGCACCTCCTATTTGCTAGGCACTAGGACTAATGTTACTACGGTGAAAACAAGGAGTGCATAAATGAGCAGTCTTCACAGTCAAATTTAACTTCATCACAACTGCTGTATCTCCAGCTACTTTTTTTGGGTTTTATGCACACAATATACATTGTTTGTATCACCAAGCAAACTGCATAAACTACACTCAGTGTAATCTGGTTCTATCACCAGTATTTGGAACGTCATATCTTAAAAAGTATGAAGATGAGCAAAAGGTTAATAATTGTGGGAGGTGAATGATGGGTACCTAGGATTCATTCTGCTATCCTCTCTACATGCTTTTCCATGATAAAAAATTCTGGGTTTTAAGAAAGCCTAATCAAAGTGCTTCCACTGACTTTTCCATTGTCAGGGTCTTGGCGTTACCTCTACAAAATGGTCAAAGCAGAGAGGCAGATGGATGGAGACTTGCACTTTTGACTTTGTATATTTCTAAAACGTTTTGTCAAAGCAAGGAAGTATTACTTTCACAAATAGAAAGTCCAACTCAATATCAACTCTGTCTTCTAGTAGCTGTTATAGTTTCCGATAGTGTCATTTGTTGATTTCATTTTTGCATGACACTTTCCGCTTGCTCGTGTTTATTCACTCAATTTGTTTCCAGTGTTTACCAGAAGCTGTGACTACCTTGCCAGAGGTGGACTGGATTTCATCGCTGGTGTGTACTCATGACTCTCATGCGTTAAGAGATTATGAGCATACCCTTTCTCCCTCGTTATCCTACTTCCTTACACACCCACGTTTGTTTTACTCTCTGAAGGACATATTTTTAACTTAAAATGTACAGTATTGGTATGTTCAAGGTAAAGAAGGCTAGGTCAGACTTGCCTTTGATGCATCTATCAGAATTCGGTTTCATTTTTTTTTTTTTAATCCTCATCTGAGGATATTTTCCCATTGACTTCAGGGAGAGTGGAAAGACAGAGAGAAATATCAATGTGAGAGAGGAAAGACAGAAAGAAATATCAATGTGAGGGGAATATATCAATTGGTTCCTCCTGCACGACCCCCAACCAGGGCCCAGGCCAGGGAGGAGCCTGCAAAGCGGTATGTATCCTTGACCAGAATCGAACCCAGGACTCTGTGGTCCGCAGGCCAATGCTCTATCCACTGAGCCAAACTGGCTAAAGCTTTGGTTTTTATTCTTAAAGTCTTACATTCTAATAAATATAACCGCCCCCCCCCCAAAAAAAAAGTAAATAAAAATAAAGCAAACTCGCCATCCTTTTTGTGAAACAGATGAGACGGAACTTCACTACTTCTATTTGCAAAGGAAAAATCTCCATTACTATAGATATGTATGCCTTTATGCCCTCCCAAGCTCTCCCATATAATAGTTTCTTGTTATATCTTACAGACGGATAAACAGAACAAGTTTTAAATGTGGGAAGCATGCAGGAAATTGAAATCATTAACTGGAAATCCACACAGCACCAGAAAAGAATGTTAGAATATAATGAAAGTAGCCATCACTCATTGAGCAGCACTGTTCTGAATGCTTCACTCTTCCCTCCTTCATTCTATGGCATCCCATGACGGTAAAAGAGAGTAAGGACAAGAAATTATTCTTAATTTAAATAAATGTTCCTTTGCCTTCCTAAAAGTCTGGCAAAAAAAAAAAAAAAAGTTGTTTTATCTGTTTTAAAACAATGTATACTAGTAGTTTTCTGACCATTAGTTAATGACATGATACTAATCAAGACACTCTTTGATTTTTAAAATAAGAAGTAGATTGAATGTGCCAGATACTTTCCTTTGGGTTAGTACTTTATTTCAATGTTCACAGTGACTCCATGAGGAAGATAGTTATTCTCATGAGGAGTGGGTGGGACAAGAGATTTAGAAAGTAGAGGAATCTGGATTTAACAGCA